CCTACTTACTAGTATCAAGGGTAAAAAACAAAGCCTGCTATAATCTGGGACCTTGTTTACGTGGTAGTTTTCTCAAAAGAGAGAAATCTGGTTTATTGTAATGATGCTCATGGGCTCATAAAGTGCTTTGAAATAGAATATAATTCATCAGAATGGCATGTATTCATTGATTCATCTATAAGTAGCCTCAAAGCAGTCTTGCTGCATAATGGAAATGTAGCATCTCTTCCTATGAAATTACATTTAGTTCATGATTTTTGAGAAAATCAAATATCAAGAGCATCAATGGGTGGCTTGTAGAGATTTCAAAATACAAACCATGTTGTTGTGTCAGTGTTGAATTTTTAAAAATATCCTTGTTATATTTGTTTGTTTATGGGATATAGTAGTGCCACACAGCTTCACTTGACAAATACTGATTGGCCTGCTCGATACAGCTTAACCCCTTGGGAGAAAAATATGGATTCTCAATCATGAAACCAAAAAAGGAAACCGGAAAGGAGTTTGGAGAAGCATCAAATAAAAAAAGTAGACCTAAAATTGTGTATAAATATCACAAACAATTTGTCGATTACATGTAAGAAAATAAATATATTTAGTTCCTGGTAAAAAACAAATGTTTTTATTAAATATTATTTTTATTTTGCAAAAAAACTATGTGTGATGGAATGTTTTGGAAGTCATATTTAGTATCTGTGATCTTTAAAGCATGCAGTTCAGCAAAAATATCCCATGCAGATGAAAATTTTTTTTTTTTTTTTGCAGACCTGCATTACTAGAATTTTCTAAATTATTTCTGGGTTTTCCTACCACTATATTAAAGAAAAATATTATTTCTTAATTCTGTTCACCAAAATAGATCTTTAAAAAAGGTCATGTACATTTTTTTCAAATTATATGTGCAATTTTGGTGAAATAAAGATAAATTTAAAATCAAAATTTTTCTCGAGGATGATTGCAATTTTTCCCTTCCCACACCATTACGCATATGTACATGAAGTAACATACGTACAAGTCAAGGTAAAAGTGATGTAAAGCTGTGTAAAAAGATTTCGAGATTTTAACGGAAATGTTTTGGGTACCTTGATAGTGATTTTTTCTCAAAATGTCCCAATGTGAACAACACTAGTGCCAAAACTATATCCAAAATATTTTCCAAAATGATTACTCTCCGATCAAGCTTGCCTGACTCAAAGCCCTGTAAACTGAAAAATAGTTCTTTGCATTTTGTAATTCACATGAGGAGGCTCCTGGGACATTTTCAATTATTTTTTGCAAAAATGACCCCAATTACATTTTAAATTTCTTGTATGAATAGATTCTTTATATATGATAGATGAAATATTCAAAAAGATGGCATAGGTCCGGTTTTCACTGTTAACTAACTCTAAGTTTTCAAAAATTGCACAAGTTTGAAATTTTATGAACCCTGTCGTACAAACATAGAACCAGTATTTAAAAAAATTGAGATTTTTTTGTCAAATAAAATTTTTTTTATGCAATTGATTCATTAATAAATAATATGTACATTGTTTTGAAATTAGTAGTTTTCACCTAGAGCAGATCCACAGGAGAGGGCAGGGGGGCCAGTTTTTGTAGTAGTGATTTTATACGAGTTTAATGATTTAATTTTACTTCAGGAAGAAATAAAAATATTTATCATTCTGACAGAACTTTAAGTAAAACTGAAAATCGACTGTGTATACGTTATTATTTTATTTTATGTTATCATTTTATTTTAATTTACACTGCTGCCCAGATAAATAAATTTATACACAACTTGGATTAATTTTTGTCATTATATGCTTTAAAATTCACGGAAATTTTGCTTATATTTTATTTAACTAATACCATATATTTTTAATTTTCAATAAACCATTAAGTCATGATCCTGTCAAAGTCTTGTTGGACAAAAAAGTAAAATTGGCTCAAAAATGCACGTTTTCAGAAAAGCTCAAACTTTTTCTCAAAAACAACTCAAAATTTTCCAATGAAAATTTGCATGCATGATCAGCTATTCTTCCACAATACTTTTATAGTCACAATTCAATTCTAATAGAGGAATGAAAAGTAGAGAAAAATGTTTATAAACTATTATTTTTTGATAAAACTATTTTTTCTTTGCATAAATAACTTAAAAGTAAATAAACCATGAGTTAGTAAACAGATTTGTGCTGTAAATATTATGATTTGTAATATTTTCGGTTGGAATAGGTAATTTTGAGAAAAGTTGTTCATTATGTTCACTATACTACACTACACTGAAGTTAGTGAAGATTCAAGATGTTAGGAAACTAACTAGTACGAGTGTATCTGCCAATAAAACCCCAACTGTTATTTTCTCGTAAGCACGCGTACTTGCAGAATACAGACAAAGTAAATAACGTTCATTTCGAGATTTTAATGTAAATGCACATTTTGGTGCCTCCTGATTCCGAAAGTATTTTTTTCTTCCAAAACGTACATCCCTCTGTGATCAACACTAACACCTAAACTATTTGTTGGATTTCTAAAATAATTATCCCAATGTCGCTCTTACCTGATTTGAAACTCTGCAATTTTGAAAAAAATTCTTGGAAATTATGTCCCTTGGAAATATTCTTAAAGGAAAGCTTCAATTGTTTCCTTAAATTTCTTGTGTGAGAGTGTAATATAAAAGACAATGTTTGTTTTTTGGTGCATACTTAATGCCTGTTCATCCGATTGCGATGAAACTTAGCCAACTTATTGCTTGCACTTCCGGGAACAATATATGAATAGTATGATGGGAATGTGCATATGCCTGCGCACGTAGACCTAAGGGCCCAAATCTTTACACAATGGCGATCTCTACGCAGCCCGTTGCACACTGAAGTACGATTATTAAGATGTCTTCATTGCGTATTCTGCCCCCGCGATTACGAAATTCCCGGGAGAGACAGACAGAGAACCACTCTCGCGAGAAAGCCTTTCGTCTATTTAAATTTTTGCAGAGTGTATAGATAGTAAAACGTGATTAACAATAACGTGACCAGTAGCATGTGAAATGTAATACATTGAAATAGAGAAGCATTGCCGGGTCCACTAGTTGACGTATAAATATGGCACCGGCCCGATTGTCACAGTTAACTCCCAATTTTCGAAAATTACTAGTTTCAAATTTTTTGGATCCCTCTTACAACATTCTTGAAAATTTCAAATGAAATGTATACTTTCCACAATTTTTTGATTAACGCCACAGTTTTTTTAATATAAATAAACTTTTTATATAAATATTTATATACTTTTTTTAATATAACTAAATTTTTAGCGGTTTCAAGGTTTTCCCAACTCTATTTTTTCTACCTCGCAAGAAGTAACTTCCTCTAACACATGTGAAGTCAGAATTCATGTTTTGTTGGTCCCTCGTATTGACGTCTCTGGCCAGCCGTCTGTGGTCGCCTCGTCTCTATCGCCCAAACGTTCCGACGATTTTCGTAAAAATTGATATTCCTCGATGAATTTAAATGAACTCGAGACCCTCTGAGTTTGAAACTGATATTTAGAGGGGGGAGTACTTTACATCCAGTCTAAACATTTTCATTATTTTATCAAAAATGTCTCCAATTTCTTTTATTATACTTTGTCCTCGCATAGCGTAAAGGGCGCTTATGAGAATGGTGCAGGTCTCATTTTCGCCAAAACCCCTAATTTTACGAAAATTGTAAACGTTCAATTTTTTCGAGTCCTCCTAAAACAACATTGAAGATATCTTTTCTTGAATTAAATCAGTTCTTTAAGGACAGATCTTGAAGGCCATGCACAAATTTTCGAAAATATGAGTAGTTTTCACCTAATTTTGGATGAAATAAAGGCAATTTTTGATTTTTTTAAATATCAAAGATAAAAATTGCTACAGTTAACATTTTAAAACTACTGAATAGGAATTTTGGGTTAAAGTAGAGAAGAAGGTGTTATATACCCTGATGGAGGGGTAGGGGTGTGGGAGGGTGGAGAGGGAGCAGGGAAAGGTAGTAATGTCTCCTTACACCATCCCTCTATATAACATTACGAGAAGCGGTCTGAAATAAAATAATTAAACTTACCAAAGTGTGAATTCTTCACGTTTCGTATCAGTTGGAGACAACCCTAAGGAAATATTTATTTCGCTTCTGGCGAACCCCCTTCGCCCAGAACTCTTACGCATACGAATAACCCCTTTCTTACTACACTTTCACTTTAAGCTATCACACAACTCATTCCTCTTGGCCGACCTCATAGGACACTTACGCATATACATACAACCCTGACGCAATCAATGTATGGTTTTGAATTCACGTGCTCACGGCCAACCACCCTCTTCGGCACCACCATAAAGACCCACATCGTAACACAAACACTCGACGACGATCACAAAGAATCTGAAGAGCACAAGAAACCTAACTACAGAAACTAAGCTAAGTGCTTTGGCGGTCACCCCGACCAACCCACATATCAAAATGAAACATCAAAATTACATTTACCGCAAAGCAACTTTCGCTTCAACAGGCAGAATAGTTATGGCGCTTCGACCAGGTACTAGGACGTGAAATGACGTAAAGAACAAAGTAACCAATCACGAAGCAATAAAATTCAGTAGTTTATTTTTTATAGTGAATTTAGATCGCCTACGCTTTCAGCGTGGGCGAGTTCCCCTGATGCGCGAGCGATCATCTAGCCAGATAATTATTTATCATGTTATGTACATTGCCCAGTAATCATCTCCTCCGAAAGAACCCCCTTATGGACTCCTAAAAACCCCTCCCCTCCGCCGTTGATTTCCCCTCGCCGGTGCGGCGCGAAGTACCAGTTTAAACGACTTCCTTAAGTTGTACCGTGTTCTCTACTCCTGCCAAATTTTGGAGAGGAAAAAAAAATCAGGTACTCCACATCCGGCATTTTCGACTAAGGGACGTCAACATTTATTATTTGCAGCACTACGTAAATTTTCATCAGTTTATAATGCTGCTAATTCTCTTTTATAAGTGATTTCTTTACATTTACATCCCCACATTATTTTTATAACGTTTATTCCATTTTCTTTGGAACCAAAACTATCAAATAAATTGCACGTCCAATTCACTTGGAAAACAGATAGTTTCTTGATGTTGATTTTCACATTTAGTCACATCGTGCCCAGGACAACTGACATCTGTGAAGTAAGCACACGGCACACAACTCTCTCTATATACACAATCAAGTGAAAATCATATTAATAAAGAATATACTGGGTATAAAAACAATTTTATAATCCATTGCACAAATCAGAAAATGAACAATAATTATACAGAAAAACCTTGAAACATTAAAGTAACAATATTGCTCGTTAATTTGAATTCGCTCCCTGAATTATCAAGCAACATTTATGGACACTTTTACACGTTATTTATGCAGAATGTGACCTAATTTTGTAGCACTACACAGGTCATTGTAAGAAGATAATGAATGCTCTTAAGTAGAAATTCAAAGACATGATGTAAATGAAAAATAATGTTTGGAAAAGACAATTCAAGAAGAACTTGCTTCAAGTGAGCCAAATGATGTTATGGATAACTCAAGAGAAAGCTGCCTCATTACTTTTATTCTGATTGTTACAGGTCTTCTTGAACAACTTGAAATTTAAAATGGGAAGTTAAAATGTATTCTTCAACAAGTATTTTAACTATGATGGAATGTTTGGACAATCTATTATTTTATTTGCATATATACTTTAAAAAAATACTTTTTATTCTAAATTTTGTTGTTTACAAAATATATCACAACTTCATGAAGGCAGTATTATCATCCATTCATAAAAAAATCACAGCTAATGCTGTTCAATGGATTAATGCTTAGTCAGTTCTAGAAGAAAGTTGTTCAAGAAATGTGCAAAACAAAGGACATAAGAGCAAACTTTAATAAAAGATGGCTCATGATCAAAGCTTTTGTTGGTAGGAGGTCAACTCTCATTGAGAAGAAAAGGAAAAGAAAAGAAAGTTGTTCAGAGATATTTCTCCACACTTTATTAGGAACCCAGTTCTTAAACTGGAAATATCGGAGTAAAAGCAAAAATATTGTTCTTTTACTGGAAACATTAGAGTCTATATTTTTATACTATACATTCAAGATATATACAGTGTTGTCTTTCTCTTCCAAGAAATAACTAGGTTATACTAACACATTTAATGAAATGACTAGATAACATCCATCTTTGGTAAAGGAAAACTAAATAATTCCTAGTAGATGTACCTACACATCATCACAAGGGGCTTATTTAACAAAAGTTAAAATATGAATAGTGAATTCAAATTAATAAGCAAGAGTGTTGTACATTCTTCAAATTACATTTACATTATTTACATATTTAAATATTCAAATTATTTTCTCGAAACATTTCTTGAAAATACATCAACTCCAAGTTCTCCTCATATGGGAATGGTGCATTGTCACAATGCTAAAAACACAGTCAATTTCATCAGTTATGAGGCAGTAGATCTGCAACATGTAGATTTAATGTGGATAATGATCCTTTGAAAGAAAACAATACGTATTTGTGATTAGTTTAAAATAAAGATATAAAACTACAACTACATTTAAATACAATAGATGCAAGTTGAAAACATTTTTCACTCATAGACAGCTCCTGAAATACAAGATAATGGAATACCACATAGGTAAAAGATGATGTTTGAAATGTTTCTTACACAAGCCATGTTTGACTGGTTTTACAGCGTTCAGACATTTGTTTCTGTCAGATTGCCACTACAATTTATTAATAAAGTATTAAAACATTATATTAATTTGTATACTATTAAAAAATTAAATACAATATTTGACATTAACCAAAAATTAAATTAATATTTAATGTATTCCAAATGTTGAGCTTAGAACACGTTTGATGTTTTACTCAGATAAATTTCTTATTTTTTATTACTCATTTATTAATACAGAAGGAACAACCTAAACAAATACTTCAACCGTAACTGTCATATCTGTTTTGTGGTATTCTTGGTTCAGATCAGCCAACAACTATTTAGGCAGGTTCTAAATCTGTGGAACATTGTTGATATCATTTCAAGAAATGTATTCTTGTCCCAGCAGATAATGCCTTAGAAATTTCAACTCGGTGAATGCAGTTTGATGTTAGGGATAGATTTCACAAGTTATTTAATGTGTTCTGAAGTCATCTCCCAAAAGAATATTGCAAATTAGTTCCAATGAAGTTAAAAGGATGTGACAATATGAAAATGTACTATGTAATACAGAAATTAAACATGAAGCTAAACATATTGAAATAAATGGATGACTCACAGTGACCTAATGTTAAAGAGCCTCTGCTATTCACTTTTATCACGCTTTCAAATAAACTTACAATAGGACAATTTTGAATAAAAGAATACTATATCAAAAATATATCTTTTAATAGAAGTTTTGAAGAGCATTTTTTTTTTTTTTGTATTCTAGCTACATAAATAGTTTTCAGTGAACACTCTTTCATTGGGAAGCATAACTTAATAATAAGAAGCACTTGCACAAGTTGGCCAACATTCTTGAAAGAATGTAAATGACTCTACATGTTATTTATTTGGGAGAAATGAACATGAAAATAATCACTTACATAACTGAACCAAGTATACAAGGAACTTCCCAGAATTTATTCCTTCCATTATAAAATGGAAATGTTAATGAAATATTTATTACTTTTGCAAGATAATGTGTTTATAAAATATCCCCCCCTTAAAAAAAGCAAGAATTAAAAAAGAAAAAAAAAAAAAAAAAAAAAGAAAAGATTATTCAGATACATTAATTTACCTAATATCTGTTCATCTTAGCAACATGGTATTCCTACCGAATAAATTATTTCCATTGAGTGTTTACATAGTATTTCAGGTAACACCCACATATCTGAGAATTACAATAGCAAATCCATTGTTTTCACCACAACACTAATTCTGGAGGAGCCTGTTCCAAAGATTTAATTGTGCGCTTTGAATAAAACATCATATAATGACGTCACTTATGACGCTGAACATACATTCCATGTAGTCAATATTGAGGCAGTCTTCCTGTCAAATCATCTTGCAGGAAAAATAGTTATCTGAACTGTCAGGCAATTCCATCAATTTTCTCTTCTTTAGCAGCTAAGCAGTATCATTTAATGTTTCCACTTTATCCTGCTTTATCTTAAATATGTACAATGAATGTACATATTGTTTGCCCCATATGCTTGTAAGAAACACTCAACTCTCCTGAGCTACACAGAAATAACTGTATAATACAACTTTGCCAAGTACAGGCTTTTTGTTGGTAGCAACTTGGATGTCAACAAATGGTGATGTAGCAAATATTTTGCCTTATTTCAGCTGGTCAAACAATTCTGGCACTACATGTTATGTTTCAGGCTGCAGCATCAAAAGTTCTTCAATAGTTGGCAAAGACAATAAACTCTCATAACTGGATATTTTATCAAGTCATATTTGTTAATCTCTACTATTCAACTGAAAGCACATAAAGTGTTTATATCAGTAGTAACAGTGGGAAAACATTTTATCTCTCAACAATTGTTAAGCCATATCAACACACATTTAGTCAACAATAACATGGAATAAAGATACAACAGATCACCACCTAGAATAATGGTTCTCAAACACCAGAAGACTGCTCTTTTCTAAAATCATTTTGACTCTTTCTGTTCTCATTATCAATTCTAATGTTATGAAATTAATATAAATTTGATATATCAATTAAAGCAATGAGCACAATTAAAAACAGGAAAATATAGAATAAGTGAAAATATATATTGGAAAAGTGTTGAAAATTCATGTGAATAATTTATAAGTTCTATTCAGAAACAGAATGGAGAAGTCTATCAAGACAGTTGACATACAACCACTACCAGATTAAAGAGAGTTTACAGAACAAAGATTAAAAGTGAAATCTTTGTTAGAAAACTTCCTAAGTAGAAGAATGTTTGCAGTTACACATTTCACGTTAAGAAGCACTGAACTACATCTTCCGTAGACACCAAAATTGTTAAATATTGTCTATATTGATAGACACCAAACATTACATTGCCCACACCATGTGCCAAAACATTCAATTCAAGAACTTTGCACAGTGTAAACCATGTCCACTTTAATTGACATTCACTGATTAAACACAGACATTCCCACAAGAAACCAACTTCCCAATGACTAAAGAGAAAAAAAGAACAAGGTTTTTTTAAAAACTACCTGCAAGAGACTGAATGCTCATAAGAAAGGGCAAAAAGAGAAAGAAAACACATCCAACGTGAAATCAATGAAGAGGAAATGCCTTAAAAAATTGACTCACATTGTTTGAAAATTTGTTACGGCATTTGCCCTCCAAACCTTTAACTAATTGGAAGTTTCGCTCACTCTTCGATTTTTTTTATTTAACACACTCTTCTTGAGTCTGTGAAATTGGAGTTCTTTTTAAAGGCACTCCACCTCCTAGATCTTCATCAATTTGTTTTATGTTTCATCCTCAGAAAGTTCTGAGTCCTTCAGTGTGGTGACCGGATGCTATGTATGCCAGTGAGCATGGGAATGGGGATAGAACATTGCTATGGCCGGGTCCTCAGTCTCGTGCGTCACAAGAATGTCCCTGAACTTGTCAAGAAGCTGCAGCAGCGTGGACCGCCGTAGGTTCTCCAGGTACATCATCTCCTCGAGGTGATGGTGACCATCCAGATACCCGCGCCGGTACAGCCGCACCTGCACATCACAGCAAGGATGAAAATCATTGATCAGTGCATGCTCTTGGTTGCTTTATTACCTCCAATGTTTTTATTGTCTCCAATCAGCAAATTTAATCAGCATTGATTAGACACAAACATAACACAAAACTAAACTCAAGTCTGGCTGACATGTTACATGCTGCTACATGTTACTGTCATGTAATATGCTGCAGTTAAGAGCACCTCCCCTCCACTTGAAATATACATAATTTAAAGGTGCCCCATAACTTGTATATATTTATATTAAATCCCAATCCAAGACTAGTCTTTATAACAGTAATGTTTGTATGAAGATGGCCAAGAACTAGGGGCAGAGAGGGAGAGGGTGGGGGAAACATACCCCTATACCCTTGAACACAGAAACGTTCATGCTACATTTGTATTCATAATATGGTTGCATTTTCTCCCTCTGAAAGTACATTACAGGTCCACAATTCCCATTATTTTAGATAGGCCTTTTTTGGCCTATGTCCGGTAGCTAGGCCCATATAGGCACACCACAGAGAACAAACAACTCCACCTTGAGCTAAACTTCTCTATTTGGTGGTCAGCTGCAATGAGGTCCAAGCACTTTGACCAGTCTCAGCATTAACTTCTATTTTACTGAGAAGGAAATGATTAATAATTTTGTCAGCTTAGAATGCAATGCATGAAGCTTTGAAATGGCTACAACACCAAATGTATAATAGAAACAACCACACCTTATGGACGATTCAAACCCACACCCACCTCTACCAACTACAGAGTGGCTTAAATACAGAAATGTTTCATTTACAGTTAATAAAATTTATTCTTTATAACTACAATAAAAACCCACAAAGGTGGAAATATAAATCATTCAGAGCTCTGAAGTTTCACAACTAAGAGTAAACATCAAAGCAGACACACTGGTCAATTGTAGGGGAGAGAAGAACTAATTTGAAGACTGACCTACTCTGGTGGTCAGAAACTCAAAATCTATGTACAATTAAATTAAAGGAAGAGATACACAAAAAAACTTCCATGCTAAAATGTAGGTGACAATTTGATTTTTTGTGCAATATAATCTAAATGCTTAGCAATATTAGGGTATTTATTCACACACAGTTCTGAGCTTAAACGCAGAGTTCAGGGACTGACCATCAAAAGTTGAGATCCACCACGAAGCTATTTTCACTTTTTTCCTTCTTCTGTAACAATTCATAACAATGTACTTTTTATAGCCACCTATATAGTCAAATGTTTGGAGTAATCTTGCATTAATTTTAGGTTAACGCTTAGCCAGTCATTGTCAGTTGTAGTCGGTCATTGTCTTTCTTCCCTTCAGCCAGGGGCTCGGAGACATTAGATCCTGGAGTTCTAAGATTGTCACACGATGAGGAGTCCTCGCCACCTTTTTTCAATAAGATGCATTTCAAATGTAATAAATGTATCCCAGTTAAGAATGCTCTCAAAAGTTTCAATTTCTAAGTGGAATTGAAAAATGTGAAAAGTGGAATTTCTACGTAGCGTTAACATCTCATAATTCAATTTAACTTATGCCTCTTGCTTGACGAATAAGAAGCAAGAGGATTGAGAAGAGACGAGGGAAAGGGATAAATGAGGAATAAAATATATGAGGAAACAGAGAAGCTCTTGGAGGAGAAAAAAGACGACAGAGGATATAGAAAAGGAAGAAACGGAACACAAAAGACAAGAAGAAGTAAGAGAAGATGAAAAGAAAGGAAGATAGAAAAAAGAGAGAGAGAGAGGAGGATTGTGGAGTAAGAAAAGAGGAGAGGAAGAATGGGAAAGGAAGAGAAGACAGGACTGTGGAGAAAAAAAAGAGGAGGCAAGGATCATCCAGTAGAAATGGAAGAGAGGAGAATTCTGTTAAAGATAGAGAGAAGACACAGTTTGTGGAGAAGAAAGCAGAGAGAAGGTTCATGGAGAAGAAAGCGGAGAGACATACCACCTAGAAGACAGATTGGAGAGAGAGATTGTGTAGAAGAGACGAGAGGAGAATGGAGAAGAAAGAGGGGAGAGGAGTGTGGAGAAGAAAGAGGAGAGGAGGTTTGTGGAGAAGGAAGAGAGGAGAAGAGGATAGTCGAGAAGAATGAGAGAAAAGGAGGGTGGAGAAAGAGGAGAGGAGAAGGGACGTGAGGGAGATTCTGGAGAAGAAAGAGGAGAAGACTGAAAAGAAGAATGAGAAATAAGGAGTGGATACTGGAGAAGGAAGACAGATGATGACAGAGGAGAAGGAAGCCAGGAGATGAGAATTGTAGAGAAGGAGAGAGGTCAGAAAATTGTGGAGCAGGAAGAGGTGAGTGGAGAAAAAAGACAGGAGAGCAGTCTAGCGACATAAGGAAAAAGAAAGAGAGGATTGTGCATGGAGAAGAAAGGAGAGGAGGATCGTGGAGAAGAAAGAGAAGAGAAAAGGATTGTGGAGCGTGAAAAGAGGAGAGGAGAGTGAAGAAGGAAGATAAGGAAGGAGGAGTGGTAAGAAAAAGAAGAGAGGAGGGGAGTAGTGTGAAGAAGGAGGAGAGGAGTATTGCGAAGGAGGAAGAGAAGAGAGTAGAGGAGTATTGTGAAGAAGGAGGAGAAGAGAGGAGAGGAGTATTGCAAAGGAAGAAGAGAAGAGAGGAGAGAAGTATTGTGAAGGAGGAAGAGAAGAGAGGAGAGGAGTAGTGCGAAAAAGGAGGAGAAGAGAGGAGAGGAGTATTGCGAAGAAAGAGGAGCAGAGAGGAGAGGAGTATTTCGAAGGAGGAGCAGAGAGGAGAGGAGTATTGCAAAGAAGGAAGAGAAGAGAGGTGAGGAGTAGTGCGAAGGAGGAAGAGAAGAGAGTAGAGTAGTGCGAAGAAGGGGAGAAGAGAAGTGTGAAGAAGGAAAAGAGAGGAGAGGAGTCGTGCGAAGGAGGAGAAGAGAGGAGGAGAGGAGAGGAGTAGTCCAAAGAAAGGAGAAGAGAGGAGGGAAGTCGTGCAAAGAAGGAGGAGAAGAGAGGATAGTAGTGCCAAGAAGGCGGAGAGAGGAGAGGAGTATTGAGAAGGAGGAGGAGGGGGCGTGGCGAGTCGCACCAGCAGCTGCAGGTCCTCCGCGTACGACGCGGCCGGGATGCGCAGGATGGCGGCGCGCTCCTCGTCGGAGAAGCCGGCCAGCAGCTCCTCCTGCAGCAGCGACCCGCCGCCCAGCCCCAACCCCAACCCGAGCCCCAGCCCAAGCCCCAGGCCCTGGCCCGCGTCGTCCTCGGGCGGGAGGGGGCTCACGAACGACGACGCCTCGTCGCCCGTCGACGCCGCAGACCCGCCGCCCCCGCCACCGCCGCCGCCCACGTACCTGCAACACACACCCACACCCGGACAGTCAGGGCAAACACACACACACAGATGTAGTACTTTATGCAAAACACAGCGCAAGCACACCCGGACAGTCAGGGCGGGGGACGAAGGCAGCTCACACTCACACTCATACACACAGATACAGTAGTTTATGCAAAACACAGCGCAAGCACACCCGGACAGTCAGCGCGGGGGACAGAGGCAGCTCACACTCATACACACAGATACAGTAGTTTATGCAATTAAATTTTCAACTATATTACACTGTCTCTGAATTTCGCATAAAATATTCATCCTTTCAGGCCCCAATTTGTTTTACAGACTGCGACTCTTAAAAGAAAATACTTAATTTACTTTCACTAAAACATAATATCTTTAATTTCTCGTTTGAAATACATTTAATATTTAGGTCCTATGTTTTCCACTATGCGTTGAGAGTAATTAGTGTACTCTTCTTCAGGAGATTATTTTTTTCTAAAATTAAAACAATACATATTTTAATGTATAATCTCATTTTTCCCTTATTGAAGCGCAATTTCGATATTGCGACATTGCCAGCATAAGAGTTATTGCCAATGGTAGTTATCTAAGTTCATTCTCCGGTTGTGTATGTGCCGATGGAATATTTTGGCATGAACTTACTGATGTAAAGAGGATATTCGCTGATGCATCCTACAATGGTGAGTTTTTTTTTTTTTTTTTTGCTTTTGGTTGGCGAAGTGCGATCTTCTTGTATCACATAACAGAATTGTTAGATATATTGTAAAAAGTACCCAATATAATGAATGACACGATTCATCAATTGAGTGTAAACTAGTAGACGTAGAAAGCATATGGGAAAAAATGTGATTGTATATTGAAATATGTTCTCTATATCTGTTCCTTTACAAATAGCCATCGCCCTCACAGACCGGCGCGGAAGATTCGCAGCCTAGACGGAATGGTCGCAGTGAAAATTTCGCGTCACGTGTTGCCTTATGAGCTCGTTCAGACCTGCGCGGCAGGCGTGCGTTGCGGCAGAGGATTGGCAGCGTTTAATTCGCGGCGGATTTTGTAACGCAGTCGGACGCATTTTTTCTGCTCGAGTTTCGTGGAAGTCCGCCCGCCTTCGGAAGTCTTCGCTCCCCGCTTGCATCGAGCTCCTTTGCCTTTGTTTATCGTATGAGGAAAACTGTCACCAAACGCCGAGTCATAATCGACGCTCCGGTGTGAACGGTCCCGCGGATTTCGTCGCCGCGTCTAGCGCGGAACTTTCCGCGCCACACCCACTGCGGATCTTCCGCGCCGGTCTGTAGGAGCCTATATTCTGAGACACATGTAGCGAACCAAAACACGATAAGTTCTCCGAGCGCATGCGCCGTGCCTGTCATCCATTGTACGCAGTGTCGAAGGCCCAACTGCCGTTCATCCCATCCCGTGAGCGGGAGGGCGGCGTCGAGGACGTGCGCATGGAGGGCGGCCGGGCGAGGATAGGGTCAGGGGGATTTCATGCAAGTGCCGGACATCAGACCAAATGAGGTTGCCAAAAAGTGGGGGTCAATGCCACTTATAAATCCATATAAGCCCATGTTATGAAATTTCCCACTAGGACCATTGGCAAAATGTGATCATATTCGACCCCTCTACGTGCCTTAGAAGTTTGTAACATGTATTCTGAGACACCTGTATCGAACCAAAAATGTTAGTCCCCACAGGTCCCCGTGTCTCTCACCCATAGTAGGCAGTGTTGACTGCCCCGACGCTAATGAGGCGGGCATTGGGCAGGGCGGCGGGACGGAAAGGCGTGGGCGGGGGAATTTCATGCAAGTGCCGAACATCTGTCCAAACGGGGTTGTCAAAGCCAATGAATAAATGTAACTCAGTTTTATGAAATTTCCCACAACATATACATTGGCGAATAGTGATCATTTTCGACCCCCCTACGAGAAGTTAGAAGTTTGTAACATTTATTCCCATTTATTTGGAGACGTAATTAACATTCATTTGGAGATCCTGTTGTGAACGGACGTTTCTCACCCGTAGTAAGCGGCGTTGAAGGCCCCTCCGCCGTTCATCCCGTGGCCGTGGGGCAGAGCGGCGTTGAGGGCGTGTTAGGGTCAGGGGGATTTCATGCAAGGGCCGAACATCTGTCCAAACGGGGTTGTCAAAGCCAATGAATAAATGTAACTCAGTTTTATGAAATTTCCCACAACATATACATTGGCGAATAGTGATCATTTTCGACCCCCCTACGAGAAGTTAGAAGTTTGTAACATTCATTCCCATTTATTTGGAGACGTAATTAACATTCATTTGGAGATCCTGTTGTGAACGGACGTCTCTCACCCGTAGTAAGCGGCGTTGAAGGCCCCTCCGCCGTTCATCCCGTGGCCGTGGGGCAGGGCGGCGTTGAGGGCGTGCGCGTGGTGGGCGGCCGGGCGAAAGGGTGTGGGCGGGGCGGGCCCCAGGTCGTCGCTCAGCGTGGAGCTCAGGTCGCTCTCGGAGGCGGCGCGCCCGCCGCCACCGCCCGCGCCGCCGCCCGGGCCCGCGCAGCCCCCGCCCCCGCCGCCCCCGCTGGCGCTCAGGCTGAGCTGCTCGTCGGGGGTGCTCTGCAGACTGCCCGCCTCGCCCGCGCCGCCGCCGCCGCCCACGCTCGGTCTGCCGCTCGCCTGCAACGCACACAACACTCGCGTTCACGTAAAGGCCCATTCGTAATGCAAACATAAACATAAGCATGGCGTTCACATAAAAGTTAGGACTACCTCCATAACCGGACTCATTCACAATAAGCATAAGCCTAACACGTTAAGACGTTAACTTAAAAGCTTGCAAGCTTCAAGCTTCTGTCCTTATGCCTCATTTATAATAAAGATTTATTGACTTCATTTCTGGGCACGTCAACGACTCTCGATATTATTTCTGTTAGTATAGTGCATGTTTTTATCATGGGAGGTGGCGAAGTTCCTCCATCATTGGATGGTGAGATCCGCTGACCTTGTCAGCTTGTGGGGGAATTCCCACATCCACGTATCTCCCCTAGCAGTATATCGCCACAGTCGAAAAAAATTGGTCTCCAAATGTGTGCCTTTATCCTACATCTGTATGTATAGATATACTACATAGGCTTAGTGTGCACACCAAATAAGCTCTCTTGCCAACTCGAAATAAATGGTTCCCGTTGAAAATAAGGGTAAGTGAGGTGTGGGTTCACAGTGTGTCCATCACATCGCCTATGCGATTACACGCTTGATAGTCATTTCATTTCTATCACCCAACCAGAGGTTGCATTCTGAAAATTAAATTGCAAAATTTTTATTAGCAAACTACGCGATGTAAAACTGGCAACAGTCTTTAGAAGAAATACAAGAGCAACTTAGGTTGTATTTTCTCTCTTCATTTATAATTCCAAGCCCAAACTAAACGTAACAATAACAAGTAACTGATGTTGCAAGACCACATTTATATGTTCATTAAAATCTTAAATAATTGTTTCTTAATATTAATGAAAATCAAAATAATTATTTGATATCAATAGTTCTCAAATTAATCATGTTTAGGGCCTTACTTAGTTCAGTACCATAATTTAAAATTCTAAAATCTTAGAATAGCTCATAAATCAAGGGGTCATTTTACAAGGAGCCTACGATATTTTTTATATAGCAAAGAGACCTTAGCGCTGTCTCTGCAGTTTTGGAAACAACAGTTGGAGCAGCAGTTTTGGAAACAACAACCCCGATTGATCTTCCATTCAACTGGTTGATTTAAATACTACCACATGTAGAGCACACAGTTTCACCCTTAATCATGCCACACATTTTTATGCAATCAAAAAGATTGTTAAGATTTCAAATAATATAGAATTAAAATAAACAATGAATATAATGTAATAAAGAGGGACAAAACACAAACACAAGCAAAAAAAAGTACAAAAACGGATTAAATGTTTTTTTTTATTGTGAGTAAAACGAAAGAAGAATAGAATAATAAAATAAAGGAAAATATAACAAAAAGAATTAAGTAACGAAAACTCACAGTGGTGCGGCCTGGCCCATGGGGAGTGGGAAAGCAGTTGACGTAGGTGTGCAGCTGCATGAGCACGCGATGTCGCAGCATCCAAACCACAGCTTGGACCAACTGCTGCTGCTGCTGTGGGTGGCCGAGCGGTGATGAGCGCTGCCCAACTGACGATGGCAGCGAGAAGTCTGCCATCACCTACTCCGCCAACACATGTAAACACACTGCCGCTCTAACACCACAAACATTTTCAATGAAGGAGAGCTATGAACTAAACACAAAGAGTGAACACAAAAATTAATGTCAATTTGTGTTAAAACTTGAGAAACCAATGCAAATACAATAGCACAAAGGAGAGAGAGGGGAAGGAGAGAGATGGAGAAAGAAGAGAAGTGGGAGAAAGAGGAGAAAGAGAGAGATGGAGAAAGAAGACAAATGGGAGAGAGAGGAGAAAGAGAGACAGGGGGAAGAGGAGAAGGATTTAGATTCAAATTTATTTAGTAAAAACAACAACAACAACAAACAGTAAAAATTGTATGTGATGTATGGGGGAGAAGATCATCTGCGCACATTTTCTTGAGTTCCAGAATCACTTCCCATCATTTTATTTATAAATAGTTGAAACATGAGTCATAGTTTAAAAGAAATAAATAAATAAAAATAAATAAAAGGAGAGGGAAGAAAAAATCAATGTTATTATTAATATTATTAATTAGAATAAGACATCACAATGAATACACACAAATCAATATTAATATTAATTAAATTTGCGATAATCTTGGAAGCTAGTCTTGTTCTTGCTCAAGCAAAATGGAACTTGCAAATGGGACACATCCACCTCAATCTCACTTTGTTCTTTTTTTTGTGCTGCGCATAGCACAGAGTCAAGTTGTAGAACATTCATGCTACTGAGCTGAATTGTGTTGGTACACATCCTTGGGTACAACTGGTTTGTGCTTTTTTCATGCACGGGAGATTTAAGAGAGGGCCTTGGCAAGGGGGAAGTTGAAACCAAACTCGTAATACTGCTTCTCCTAAAATATTTTTAAGTCAACTTTACTACAACTGCCAGTTATTCATTGTCACCACTTTTTACTTGTCCTGTCTATTTCATTAGATGTTTTCATTTCATTGAAAATGTCCACTTTACGTTGCCTGTATTCTTTTATCAGTTGTGGACACTGTATTTCTGTGCTTGTTCCATCCCCTTCACGCTGTATTACAGTATTCATATCATGCGAGTTAAGAAAGTTAGAAAGTAAATTGACAGTTCTCCTGTCTTTCTGCTTGAGAATGAGAATGCCACTATTGCTGACTTGCCAGTCATAATTTCATCCAGATAGCTCCTTGACAGATTTACGTTTTAGGAGGTACTTCCTGAAGTCGTAGGTTTCCGCGGCCAGAGTCATGTGGGTGATCTGGGCTGTCGGGGTGACGCCGCGTCGAAGGCTGAGTTGCCGACGCTTCGACCATCCTGTGGGCATGGTATGCGTACCAGCCCTGAGGAAGACCATGACAGGATGCTCGAAACGTCGGCAACTCAGCCTTCGACGCGGCGTCACCCAGACATATCAGATCACCGACGGAGGTACTTCCTGTTTGGCTGCACCTCCACATGCAAAAATTCCAGTCCATACAATTCTACCATCAAATTGTAGCTATTGAAATAATTGTCAAAGTAAAGATGATGATGTTCTCCAACAAATTCCTCAGACAGTTTAAGAACGACACTTAGGCCTTGGTACAAGAACATCAACATCATCGTCATCATCAACAGATTCATCGTCTAAAAGAATTATTTTTTTTCACAAATATTTATTTTATCTAATTGTATTATTTATTTAGTTTTCTGTGTTATTACTTTATGGGATTTCTGTGACAATTGCTTCTATTTCATCACCAAGTAGCCACATTCATTATGAGAAAACTTTCTCTGATATTTGAACTGTGTATATGATAAACAATAATGACACTACATTATTCAATATATAAAATACAAAAAGGAAAATAAAAACAGATTTATTGGTGTCTGAGCATAATGTGGTATCATGACATGTTAGAGAAGATTGTATCAGACATTCACAGTGGTATGCAAAAGCTACCACCTATTTTATTCTTGCAACTATGTTACTAAATTTTTAAAAATCAATAAAAAGTGGATATTGTACCTTTTAGGAGTACTATACCAGTAAATTGGCACAGGAAGAAACACGCTGAATTCAATAACATTAACAAAATACATACCAATGCATCACATGACATCCGTGGGAAATATCAAGAATTTTGAAGCTAATAGCACACCAAGTAACATGAAAAGGACATAGCACAACATCCAGCAAAAACCACATACACGCAAGTAATATCAAAACTGATATGTTTCTTATACCACCAAACTTCAAAGAGATACAAAGCCATTTGTTAAGTATTTATCTGATTCATTTGTACTACTTGTAGGTAAGGTGGAAAAGTGAAGTTGAATAAGTTGAACATGATTTGCTTGTTTTACGTGCACTTTCCTTGTTGGAATCGTGTAATAAACAAATACAATTTTAAAAAGGAAACATGACTCAAAATTTCAGAATTTCTAACCAGTGTTGATTATTTTGTATTACCTTCTTTCTTTATGCTAAGCAAATTCATTAACACACTTCACTGTCAAACTGAAAGCAATTTATCAAAAACTATACTCGCAATATAGAAACAAATTCCCTCTTCTCCAGAACCATTGACCAACTGACAAGGAGAGACTAAACAGAACCTCACAGCCAAACATGGGAGTTTTTCCAATGCCATTTAGTGTAAAGATCTTTACTATGTAACTAAATTACATTTTAATTTTTTTTGTAAACAGACCAACTACTCTTCACATTTAACAAATCAACCACATTTAAATCACTTAATCACATTTAAGAGTGAATACGAGAATATTAATTTTAACACAATGATACAAATAGATGTTTGTGTTTTGTGGGTGTTGTTTTTTTCAAGACAATAGTCACACATATCAATCTGAGCAGTTAGAAATTTCAAAACATCAAAATTGGTAAAGGCAGACCGATTAAAGTGTAAATGTCCAATGAAACTTTCTACATTCAATTACGATACACCAGGAATGTCTTTCCACACTGAGCCCAAATCATGAGCTGCCACCATCATCACTTCTGCCCTCACCTTCACCGCCTGGTGCTTGAAATACCAACGTAATTTCTGTTGATAGCACTCTCATTAGCGTGGTGCTACTGTGGAAAAACTTTATTTGTGCACTGTATATTCAGAACACAGTTTGCTTTTGGTTTGTTTTTTATCCCCCCCTCCTCCTTTCTTTTCATTTTCTAACCAGTACGCAGAATCACACCCTAACTTTGAAACCATTACCCAAGGGTTTTATAGACTGCCTGCACAAGCCCTACCTGCAAGAGGTTCATTCCGGGGAACTGTTCCGAGAAGCGTTCTACCAGGTGGGCATCAGGAGCATCCGGAGCAATAACGTACACATTGCTCTCACACAGGGGGTAGATGACGGTTGCTTTCGCCCAATACAGCAAGTGCCCTGCGAGCTGGAACACCTATGGAACATCCACAACTCAGTCCTCTCCCCATGGAAATACACACCAGAAGAGCCAATGAATATCGCTCGTACAAATATTGCAAGAAGCAAAGGAAATGCACATATTGCGTATAACGTAAATAGTGTACAATAGATAATCTACAGTGCAGATGGCTGGGATGATAACTGTTCCATACAGGGCTATTAGATCAAGCCCTTTTGAAGGAAGGCATCTATCATGCACTAATAGAATTGTAATGTTCAAAAGAAAATAATTCACCTAACGAAAATTGTTAATTATCATATGAAATGAATAAAAATATAAGAAAATTATTTTATCTAAGTTTTATATTATAGTTACCAGCATTCAGAAGTAATTTGGTAGTGTTTGTATACTGGAAAATGCTAACTTATGTGGTTATGCCAGCAGGTATTTACAGGAAACGTATCATAAGTAATTTTCTTTGGCATAAGGGGAATTTATTAAGACTATTTCATGATAACTATGTCAATAACATCAAATACAACTATTATTACAACAAATAAAAGGAAAAAAAATGCAGTAAAACTCCATTTATACATTTTGCACTTGCATGTACATACATTATTGTATTGATAAATGTGTGTCCAAGATAAATTCCTGTATTTCCCATGATGAATAATTTCAGATACACGTTTTATGTTTATTTGTTTATCACACTTAGATGTCCACAATAAAAAATCTTGGTGATACATACCAGCATAAATGGCCAGTAAGTAAGAAAGTTAATGTTTTTCCTAGAGGAAACTACTAGGGTTAACAACTGACAGCCAGTAAGAATGTCTTTTCTTTGCTCTGTTTAGTTGTGATATGTCAGTTAACAGTAAAATTTATGAAGAAATTCAATGAGCCCTTCAAAAAGTTAAATTTAGTGAGGGGAAAGGCTTATCTTCAACTGCGACCAAAGTAAACAAGAGGGAGAGGTAGGTGGGGGGAATGAAAAATGATTGTTCTTCCCAATTTTCTAGTAATCATTCATTGATTAATTTGAAAGCATAAATTAGTGCAAAATTAATTTAAAATGTATCTCGTGTTTAATATTTTGTCAAATTAAATAAGGGAACTCAATTTTTAATTAAGTGACTTTTCTTGTCTCAGGAAGTGGGGAAGAGGGTCAAAATGGAAGATTCAATTCAAGAGCTCTTGTAAGTGGATAGAGATGTCACGTGGGCAGTATAAAAACCTTTATTTTTTGAATGGCCCCTAAAAGGCATCCCACACAATTCCCTAGACCTCAAACTACCTCATTCTCTCCCTCAGAAGTCACACCTGCGAAAGGGTGAGGTCGGCGTCCGCAGCCAGTGTCTGCAGGCTCTTGAGCGGACTGTAGGTGCGGATGAGGCGCACCAGGGCTGGCGATGCATCTGGAGGCAGAGAGTCCAACAGCTCATGGGGCTCAACCAGTAGGAGGATACCATGGTAAGGCCGCAGAGCTTGGAGGCACCTGCACTCACACAAACACACATAGTTTATTGTATTAATCTGCACATTAAAAAAAAAAAAAAAAAAAAAAAAAAAAAAAAAAAAAAAAAAAAAAAAAAAAAACAACAAACAAACAAACAAACTTTAAAATAAATGTTTGGGGTCAAATTCACAATCACCACTTACGGAAGAAGAGAATCCTTAGGAAGTAAGTGACTGTTGAAAATAACCGTTCACATAGGTAGCTCTCTACTTCATACACATTCCTCATTACAGCAAAATGAGTGCTTCCATAAGTATAATCAGAAATATGTCACAGTGTCAATTGCATCCATTGGTTCATAGTTGTGTAGGAAGGAGTGCACACTTAATATTTTTAGAATAAAGGGGATCCTATTTTATTTGTGAGCTTTTAATTGATGGATATCTCCGGGCACACCGACTACTTTAACGTCATTAATCGCATTGGTGAAGTGAATTTTTTATCTTGGAAGGTGGTTGTGATTTCTTTCCCGGTGGATGGCGAGATCTGATACTGACCTACATTTTGGCTTGTAGGGAATTTATCTTTTCACATATCCCCCACAGCAAAGCACCACCAACTGGAATATCCCCCCAGATGCTTAGTAGTGTAGTGCAAGTACGTGTGTCCGTTGAAGGGAAGAGGCTGGGACATGGAAGAGGAAGGAAATATCGTAGGTAGTACATAGCGTGTTAGTTAGGGTACTGCCCAGGCTGCTAGAATTCTCCAGACAGAGGCTGAATTCAAGCTAGCTAGCTATCTAGCTAATGTTGAAAGCCCACCACTGTAAAGACTCAAACCCTAGAACTTCCTGAACACAGTTACTGAAGTGACAGCGGTAGAATCTCACACTGAGTCAACTCAGTTGGTATGCACTTTTAAGATCATGGGTATTTTTTACACTTCCAAAAAATATTCTGTGTGATTACTGTCATCATTTTTCATAGTAGACGAGAGTGCCATGTAAGAACGTACTCTGAACTAATGAAGCAGAAGCCAAACGAGAACACAAAAATGTGCTGGGACTTCCCTTGTATGAATAAGCGGTCACTCATTGCCCACTACTTTGAGAATAAGGGTTGTTTGTAAGAAAAAGATATCAGACACTTAAGGAACTCAATTTTTAATGTCCACTTTGAATTTTGTCTAAAGAGTCTTAAAATAAAGGGGGCCGAATAAGCACACATATGGGAAAGAAGTGCACAATATGAAATTTGATTACCCAATAAGGATTAACGATTCTTCAAAAATGTCATTGTTCCTTTGATATATTAATCTTATATAATGTAACAAATAATAACATGATTAGTTCAAATGTTTATAACTGAAGTATTCTAAGCCCATTTTATATTTCAAAACAATAATCTTAAATTTTATTTTACTAGTCCTTACAAATGACTTCACACCCTACATACGTGCTCCTTAGAGGTATCTTCACTGATTTATGAATCACAATTATGAGCCACCTCTTAATTCCTTTGAATGTACTTATATACTTATTTGGCTGAATCTTTGATTGATTGAAGTTTAAGGGACTCTCTAACAACTATTGTCATATAATTATTTCAGAAGTGATTATGGCTCCTAATAGCATCAGAGATGTTTTACTACAAGAATTGGTTGGAACAGGTGAGAATGCCAGCATGTATAAGGAATACAGTTTATCAAAAAAGCTGTGATACTTACTTTTGTAATTATTGAATTGAAATGTTGATGAGATGTTACAATTTTGGATCTTATTTTAATGCAAATGCATATTTCTTATCGTGTAGTCAGAAAGTCTGCTCACTTGGTATGATTAAAAAAAAAAACAACACTATTTCTGATCATATGGATCATATCATCATAACTGTACAGTGTGTATATTTTTTAATACACAACATATTTCTGCAATTTTTTCTTGGTAGCTTTTATCTTAACATAAATATATTTCTATTTATTTTAATCGATTCACTTAATTTATTATTTTCTAACGTACATGTATATAAAGACTTAAATCTTAGAAAAACGTGTGAGTAATTATCGCATGAATTCTTACAACCTGAACCAAATATCATTTCACAATAACAAAATGTTAGTGAATTACTGTCAGCTTGTTTGGATGAATTGTTGGCAACAAAATAAATAAACCAAAATATAACGCGAGGAATAATTTTGACGATTGCCTGAATCCCCAAACTCATTATTCATTTAGGTTCTTACTTGTTACAACTGATACAGATAAATATTAAACAATGACTTAGTAACTTTGCTAACCTGTTGATAGTTTCAGGTTCCACAATGAAGTCTTTTTTGTGGGACTGGTGCACTTTTTGTGGTAAACAAAAGCTCACCTGCAAAAAACATAGTTAAATTAAAATACAGAGCAAACAAAAAAAAAAAAAAAAAATTTCATCACAAAAATTAGTGAAAATATGAGCATTAATCATGAAACAATGTTAGCGACATACTTATTAGGGCTTTCTTTAAGAAAAATTGTTTTGTGGCCTATAGGCACTTATGACTTTAATACAATATAATGTCTTGTTGCTAATTCTTGCAAAATAAATAAGCAAGATAGTATAAATTATTTTTAAAAAACATACACATATTGGTAAATTTTTTGACTCTTTTGTGTAACTAATAGAAATTTTTAATGAGATTTCTGAACTTCTGGCTTTTAGGCTCATCATTCTCGAGTAATGTTGACAATGCAGCCTCAGACAGGTTATTGGTGCCTATAATGAACAGCAAAAAAATACCACCCTGTAATAAAAAAGGGGAAAATCTGATATTGATTTTTTCTGTTTCTTCACTTAAAATAATTTGGTTTCGTGGGAGTAGTCAGGAGTATTTGTACTTTGCTGAAACAGTAAGTTAAATAGATTTGAAGATATCTAGATTATAGAGTACACAGTCAAATTGTACCTCATAACAAATTAGTTTTATAACAAATTAGCTTAAAAGTCCTCTGATCATACATAAGAAAGAGCAAACAGAAAACAATTATTATGACAAAGTGCTATTAAAACAAAAATTATGACAAAGTCTGAAATTCATTCCTTTCTCAACCAAACTGCTTTCCCAGGACACAGTTGTACAGACATTTCTCAAGTGAGTGCATATTAATTCTTGGGACATCAACTACCAACGTCATTAGTCACATAAGTGTTCCATGTTCCATGTGAAATGAAGTAGAAGTATTCCTACCCTCCTAGAATATGAGATTCGCTACTGTCCGCGGCGGGGATTTTCCACCTCCAAGTATCTCTTTCAGTGGGTCCCCACACCAGCTCTAGGCTCCTAACTGGTCTCGCGATATGTGTGGTAGAGAAGTGGATGTACATGTGTGTGTAAGTAAAGGGTGAGGATAGGACAAGAGTAACGGAAAAGATCTATATCGTCCATTGGCCATTTGTTAGGATAATTGCTCTGGCGTTCGCCTGATATCGATTGAGATAACCTCAGGTAAAACTACCAATCAGAGCATTGACCACTAGAAATTCTCCTCCAGACAAGCAGCTGAATTCATCTATCTACAAAGCTATCGAACTAGAGTAAGGAAAGATCATATTGTCGTCCATTGGCCATTTATTAGATATTGCTCTGGCGCGTTCGCCTGATATCGATTGAGTAAACCTCAGGGTAACTACCAATCAGAAGCAAGTTGGCTACTAGAATTTCCTCCAGACAGCACTGAATTCAATCTAGGCTACATCAGCTATCGAACAGAGAGTAAGGAAAAGATCATTATGTCGTCATTGGCCATTTATTAGGATATTGCTCTGTGCGTTCGCCTGATATCGATTGAGTAACCTCAGGAAACTACCAATCAGAGCAGTTGCACTAGAATTCTCCTCCAGACAGCAACATGAATTCAATCTAGCTACATAGCTATCGAACTAGAGTAAGGAAAGATCATATGTCGTCATTGGCCATTTGTTAGGATATTGCTCTGGCGTTCGCCTGATATCGATTGAGGTAACCTCAGGTAACTACCAAAATCAGAGCAGTTGGCTACTAGAATTCTCCTCCAGACAGCAGCTGAATTCAAATCTAGCTACATAGCTATCGAACTAGAGTTAGGGAAAGATCATATGTCGTCCAATGCGCAGTTGTGTAGGATATGCTCTGGCGTTCGGCCTGATATCGATTGAGTAACCTCAGGAAACTACCCAATAAAGGGGCAGTTGGCCACCTAGAATTCTCCTCCAGACAGCAACGAGAATTCAATCTAGCTTACATAGCTATCGAACTAGATAGGAAAGATCAATGTCGTCCATTGGCCATTTGTTAGGATATTGCTCTGGCGTTCGCCTTGATATCGATTGAGATAACCTCAGAAACTACCAATCCAGAGCAGTGACCACTAGAATTCTCCTCCCAGACAGCAACTGAATTCAATCTAGCTACATAGCTATCGAACTAGAGTAAGGAAAGATCATATGTCGTCCATTGGCCATTTGTTAGGATATTGCTCTGGCGTTTGCCTGATATCGATTGAGGTAACCTCAGGAAACTACCAATCAGAGCAGTTGGCCACTAGAATTCTCCTCCAGACAGCAACAGAATTCAATCTAGCTACATAGCTATCGAACTAGAGTAAGGAAAGATCATATGTCGTTCATTGGCCATTTGTTAGGATATTGCTCTGGCGTTCGCCTGATATCGATTGAGGTAACCTCAGGAAACTACCAATCAGAGCAGTTGACCACTAGAATTCTCCTCCAGGCAACAGCTGAATTTAATCTAGCTATGTAGCTATAATCGAAAATCCACCATAGTCACAGTAGCTGCTCAAGCCTTAACGTTGTTGCCGCTGATCTATCACCGCTGGTGATATTTTTCAATGAAAGCAACAGTCAGAACTTGACAATAATTTTTCAGTTTCGAAAGACTATGTGTCTAAATATCTTTCCTAGTTATTACCATTTTGAATGTTATACTGAACTTCACAAAATGGAAATATATCAGTGCATTATTTTTTCACACTTCATTTCACTTTTTTTTAGGAAGAGGTCGCATAGCCTTTTATCAGGCCTTTGAAACCCTCACTTCCAGCACCTCAAGTATTAGCGGTGTCCCAGTCACCTTCCTAAATCAGTTCTGGCAATGAGCAATGACTAGACATCGATCTTTTAGTAAAAGCGTATTTTACTTTGATGTTGACACATGAAAATAATTATAAACCCTTTCATGATTTTATGTTACAAGAACTACATTTATGGTGCCTCAAATGCTTATTTCAGCATTAGAACCTAAAAATACATCTATTTGTCTGATTCTTCTTCTTCGATTGTGTTACAGCCTAGGTTGGGTTTGAGCCTTTCCACTATTTGTCTGATTAATAATGCATTTTTCAATTTAAAAAAATCTGGCTGCTTTGCAAGCTTGTTTCATAGTTGAATCATCTGAAGAATATAGAATTATGTTATGTGTATGGACGGTGCTGTTTCAGTTCCTTATTGCTAGCAAACATCTCAAATTATTCAAATTGTCAGAGTTGCTAACCAAATTGCTTAACTTCGCTTCCTTAAGTTATGGAGGTAAAGCAACTGCAACATCACGAGTACATGGATGGGTGATCATCTGTGAACCCTGAGGATCTAATGGCACCAAACCTATGGCCAAAAGACTAAAAGGCAACGATTGACTAGGTTAAAGAAGGATTACCCCACTCCATATTCAAAGTCAGTATGTGGTTATACAGAATATTGTTACGAATTAATGGAATAGAACTTAAAAGTGAGCAGTAAAGTTAGTTGGTTCGTTATATAGTGAAAAGTAAAGATAAAGTAAACAGAAGTTGGCCATTTATGCTAACCTTGATCTGAGGTGACACAAAAATTTGATCAAGCATTCTATCTTTTTCATCTTCCTGTCAACACAGTCTGTACATCAATTTTATAGAGTGTGTCAAAATCCTGAAATATGAGTTCTGGTATGCCAAACATTGAAAGAAATAGCCTGCTCATTTAGAACTAAATAATTTGGTTTATTAGACAATTCGATTATTTTTAATGCACCAGCAAGCTATTTTTTGTAAACCGTGCACCAAAGAGGGAAGCAATCTCTAATTCATTACACTTCTGGAATATGAAAAATTAGTTGTCAGAATGTTGTGATACACTCATCTGATATAAAAGAAATTACAGCATTTTGCTTTTCATTTCTTCCTAGTTTGTTGTGACAAAAAGTGCCATTTAAATAATAGTGTAACAAAAGAGCAAAAAAAATATTGAAATGTATAAAAAATTACTCTAAAAGGTTATTTTGATATCAATTTCTATCATCGAGCTAAATGTCAATGCCTATTCATCGAGCTAAATGTCAATGCCTATTTCCACCTATTAAGAGCTCATTTTAGGAGCCTACAACGGTAGGTTTTAGATCCCCCCCAAAAAAAACAGTCAGGTGATGACCTCCTTCTCTCACGCACACATATCCTGATATACACCCCACATACATACATGCACACATGCATACACACACAAACATACCGGTCTGTCTGAGAAAGCATGTTGGCCAATCTCTCGCCAGTTTATTTTTCTTTGATATGCTGAGGTATCCTGAAGGTCCACATCAACTCTCAGAAAACAGATGGGAGATTGGATGACCCCCTCTCCCCCCCCCTCCCCCCACACACTTACCATCTTCATAGTTTAATGGGGTCAAAGAAATGAGGAGGGAAGGTGCTTGGGGTTGTAAGAAAGATCTTCTTGAAAAAACAGCAAAAACATCCATACACACCCCATGAAAATATCCATACGTGTGATTGAAACCTGTAGCCAAAGATATAACACGCCCCACACCCTACTCTCATATCGCAGATTCCTACAGCACCAGGCCGACTAAACTATTTCTTATTGCAATAAATTCACCAATTAATCCAAGCAAAAATTTGAATTATTGTGGTATTGGTTGATCAACCCTGAGCATTAGATTACCATCATGAGTTGAGGCGCAAATGTTTGGCTTACCCAAACAGTTGCTGGCTCCTTGGGAATTAGGAAGCGTCATGATGTAATTCTCAAACATTAACCAAAACACAAAAATAATTACAGACTGACACCTGCAGTCATTAAGCTGAGCAACACAAATTATTTGAATTAGGATTGCAATATGTACATTTCACTTGCTGTGACTTTGTTTTGTCACCATGCTGTTGACGCTTAACGTACAACGTATATTTCATACGTTATGCTCACCTCGATCCAGCGGTTTACACGAATATGGACTATTCCTGTTGAGCAAAGTTCATCGTACACTGCCTTCATGTCTCTGGCGAGGGGGCTGCGACGCAAAATCAAGTCGAACGGAGAGTCTGCAACAACACACATCATCTAGTAATAATAATAATAATAATAATAATAATAATAATAATAATAATAATAATAATAATAATAATAATAATAGTAATAATAAATATAATAGATAACATTACTTATAATATAAAAATAGTATACTAACAGTACATTATTACAATTATGGTAACAGTTACATATGGTTTAACAGTGTTGGTATGTTCCTTGATAGTATCTTGAAATGGGGAGGAGGCAGGTTATGGGCAGATTTTTTCCTATTTCTACACCTAGTCCTACTGCAGTACCTGAAATCACATTGTACATGTTAGTCATTGAGGTATTCCTGAATGCTATAAAAAAGTTTTTCCCCAAAGAAATGTTTAGGTGTTTTTTTTTGAAGTTGTACAAGCCTGTCGTAGTACTGCATTGCTTATCAGGAAAGCAACGACACTTCATTTGAAAATACCCTGGAGATATATAAGCTATTCCATATTGGTTGCCTTATTGATTCCCTCATGTTCTGTTCACCCATTTTGCAATTACAAGCACATTAATTTCTATGGTCTTTATTATCGCAAGTGCAGTGCATGCTATATCACGGGAGATGGAGGTGTTTCTTTCCCCTTGGAACGTGATATCCGGCGCCGACCCACACGTCAGTTACGATTTCCCTCCTTTAGGTATCTCCGCCAGCAAGGCACCGCCCCAGCTGCGACAAGTTCTAACCTTCGGCCGTATGCAGTTGTGTAGTGCACTTTAGTGCGCTGCAAGTGAGTGGGCGCGTAAAGATAGAACAGAGGTGAATAATGAGGAAGGAAAGATCGCGCGTGGTTGATTGATTTCGTGTTTCTGGGCATGTCAACTACTTGGTCATTAGACCCGTAAATGTGGCGCATGTTTTTGTTACGGGATGTGGCGGTGTTCTTCACTAGCCGAATGGCGAAATCGGGCGCCGACCTACACAGATGTTTTCTCCAATCTGGCATTCCCATCAGCGGAGCACCGCTCCAGCCAGCCGCAAACCCTAAGCTCCCGAACGGTCTCCCGGCGTGTATAGAAGAGTTGTGCTTGTGTGCGAAGGGGTGTGAAAGTACGGGGCGAGTATAGGACATGGAAGAGAAAGGACAGATCGCGCGCGGTCCCGTGGTCCACCTTTCAGGAAACTGCTCCAGCATTCGCCTGGCCTTGATAGGAGAAACCACGGAACAGTACCGATCGGATGTGCTCGGTGAAGGTATTACAAACCGTGATCCGATGGTTCGGTCGTTAGTCATGTTTAGACAGTGTCAGTTATTATTTCCTATTTTATCTTTCACAAATTGTAATTACGGGAATTGTCCGTACATGGAAAAAATTTGAAAACGAAAAAAAACCAACGGTCGGTCGGGTGGGTCAGTCGGTCGGGTGGGTCAGTCGGGCGGTCGGGTGGGTCGGTCGGGTGGGATTGGGGCCAATAGCAGGCGTGCGTAAGTATTGGGTCGTCGGTCGGGGGTGGCTGGGCAGTCGGGACGGGGTCGGCGTCCGGGTGGGTATCCGGTCGGTGGGCGGTCGGCGGGCGGCGTGGGCGAGCTGGGAAAGTCGGTGGTGAGAGGTCGGTTGGGTGGGTGGTCGATCAGGTCGGTCGCCAGGTGGGTCGGTGGGTCGGGTCATCTGTTGCGTGGTCAGCTCATTCGCTCACCGGCGTCGTCGTGGTGGCTGGCGCGAGGTGCGGAGGTCGTGTTCGTGCCCCGTCACCATGGGCGCGGGTCTCGGCGCGACAGGTTAGCCGAGCGCCGCTCTCGGGCGCAGCGCCACGCCAGCCGCTTGCTCAGGTCGTTAGTAGCACTTGACGATGGAGTGCGACGCCGTGGCGCGCAGCGCGAACACGATCTGGATCAGGATGATGGCGCGGCCGCGGCTCTTGCGCCGCGCGCCCGCACTCCCCCGCCCGCCGCCCCCGCGCCGCCCACGCCCCGCTGCCGGCGGTCCACCGCCCCGCCCCGCCGCGGCCGCCGCGCCGCCGCCGCCCACCGCGCCGCTGGACGGGGAGCAGCGTCGGGTGCCCAGAACCTGCGCACGCCAGTCGATGAACGAAGGGTTAGATGAGAGGTCGAGACAGTAGGATGGGTGGGTCGGGGTCAGGAGTGGGTGCACGAGTGGAGAGGTGGGAGCGCGAGTGGGTGAGGAGTCAGCGGGTGCGCGGAGAAGCAGTTGCGTGGGGTGGTTGCGAAGAGTCGGTTGGTGGACTGTGGGTGGTGACCGGTTGGACAGTCGTGCGAGGTGGATGTGGACATTGGGACGTCGTGGGGTGGGTGACGAGGGGTGGGTGGGTGGTGGTAGGTGGGGGTCAGTAGGTGGGGAGTCCAGGTGGGTGGTGGAGTCAGGTGGAGTGAGAGCTCGGGTTGGAGACTCACGTGAGATGGATGGTAAGTCAGGTTGGGTGGGAGAGCTTGGAGGACTGGGAGTGGGTGGGTGGTGGAGAGGTGGTTGGGTGGGTGGTGGTGCTGTGGAGATGGGTAGTGTGGAGGCGGGTGGTCTGGGTTGGGAGAGTCGGGGGTGGTGGTGGGTGGAAGAGCGGCGGTGAGTGGGTGGGCGGTGGTGGGTTGCGGTGGAGATGTCGGGTCGTGTGTTGTAGGGCTGCTGAGTGGTGAGAGTGTAGAGTGAGCGAGTCAGTGAGTGACGGTGGTGGATGAGTGTGGTGGGTGATGTGGAGTGAAGGTGGTTTGGTTAAATGCGGTGGGTGAATGAGGTCAGTACGAGGAGGGTAGTGATGGTGGGTGTGGATGGCACTAAGTGGGGGAATGAGTGAGTCAGAATGTGAACGAGTGAGTATGTGTGTGGGTAGGAAAGTATGTGAGTGAATAAACCAATAAAGGAGTGCATGAATATTTGAATAAATTATTAAACAATTACACAGATACATTAATGCGTGACATATTTATAGCAAATAAATGACAAAATAATGAAATTAATAAATAAATGAATGTTGGAGTGAATATAAATGGATGGTTAAATTAATAAATATATGGATATGTAATGGAAAGTAAAACTGAATAAATTATTAACAAGCATAACAAACCAACTTACATCACAAGAAAATGTAAAACATAAGGAACTGTATTTAATGAATGCAATGAACAAAATATCTCCCCACTTGAATAAATTATACATCTGTATCTCATTTTTTTCTATTTCATGTAAGAGGTAAATATAAAATATTTGCCAAACTGTGACATTTTAACTTTCTTAGTCCACTTTAATTGCGATTAGAATTAGATCCCTGATGACTGACATACTCTGTTTTGTCTTCCAGATACTTCACACTCACCATTTCTATATACCAAACTCTTCAACTATTGACTTTCAACACAATTGTTATTTGGCATTTTGAACATTACGATCTTTTGCATAGAATTCTCAACATACTAGCAATATCATTTATTTTCATTTTTGATTATTTACTTCTCACATGCTGTTGAGGAAACTATTTGAAATTGTTGTCAAGTTGTTACAAAAGTTGTTTAGATTTATTTGTTGGTTGTTTTTCAAAGTTGTAACTTATGTGAGGAGAATGAATACCGTACTAAACAGGACAAGTTTAATTTTTCCTATGGAGTATTTTTGTACCACAAGCACTGTAAATACAGAAAAGAAAAAGAAAAAAAAAAGGGGGGGGGGAAATGAAAGGGGGGTAGGAATGAAGTCATAGCTGAAGGTGAAAGGCCAATCAAAGTGAGCCAAGAATCAAGAACATAACAGGAGGGTGGCTTAAGACTATTTAGTTAGAAAAAGACAACGATCTTTTAATTCAATTCCACAAAAAGTAGGAAAAGAAACGTGACCCAAATCAAATATTGCTTGAGGTGGATGTAAGAAAGAAAATTATGCCAAAACAAAAATGGAAATGTCTAACCTGGTCAAATACTTGTAAATCACTGACTACTTTTCACTGTTCTAAAATAATAGAAAATACTTTCTATACATGTGATGACCAAATTTTGTCTTACTCAGAAATAAATCAATTATCGTGGGTGAGAGTTAACAGTAGAAAAAATAAATTTTATCTAAAAAGTTTTGTTTGTTTAAGCAATATGTTAGTTTGCAATATGTCAAACTCTTGTAAGTAATATAGTGACTCACAGCAATCTAGCGTGCAAATCATACTAGCACCATTGGTATAATTACATCCAAGAGGCATAAAGATTCAAATAAGAAGGATTCAAAATCATACATGCCCACATACATTTTTAGGAATACAACATTTTTGTAAATGCCTAAGAGTACCTACACATAACTGCTGCATAATACAATAGAAAAATGAATGAATGTGTGAATGAATTAATAATTCATGTATAACAGTTGCCCCTAACACATATGGATTGGTGTGTCTTTCCATTCATGTTATGGAGATCAGAAACAAGAGGGATGCTAAATTATTAAATGAAACTCTGTGAAAAGTGAAGAGAGTAGATAATCAATAGATTCTTATAGAGCCAATGGTTTTTTTAAACATGAAAAACAGTGAAAATCAACAGTGACATTGTGAGAGAAGAAAAGCTATCTTAAGTCCGAAGGCAAACCAAGAGCCAATTTCAGCATTTACTCAATGGACTAAGACACTCTGAAAGAAAACCCTGATGCAGAAGAGTGACTAACAAAGATCAAAACAATACTTAATACACACAGAATGACCTTTAGCGTTTTAGAATTACACTGTATCAACGCAAATAAGTTTTATTTTAACTCGGGAGCAAAAATGTATATTTTCGCATGTTACTAACCTCTCATTTAAGTTATATCTTTTGAACCTAATTCATCTAGAAGTCTCTGCTTTTCACAAAATAATAGAGAAAAGTTCATTCTTTAATATAGCATACTTTACACTATTAAACTGTATCTTTGGTGACTATTTATGCAATGACAATTTATGACGTCAATTACGTAATAATAAATGTATGTTACCAAATGATTACAGTAATTTTCACATTTCTGAATTTCTAAATACAAATACAGAAAAAATTGTTTGTGAAATTTCGACTTTCACTTTTACTACATTGTAAATTACAAAAACTGTTCAAAAGATGTGAATCTGCTTGCATTTACGTGAAACATTTTCACCAAGCTGCACCAAACGTTTTGCAGCAATTGGTTGAATAGTTTCTTACATAATGGGTCACATGTACAGCCAAATTAACATGGGAGAGATAGGACTTAAGTTGAATCACCATCAGTGAGAAGGGTATATAATATAAAGAGAGCTCGGTCCTCAAAAGGGATCAGACACAATATTCAAAAGTAAGATGGGATTCCTCTTCAGCAAACAAAGCATGTAGTCATCAATGAAACAATAAAAAAGATTGACTGGTATCATCTTCCTACCTCATTTGCATTATTAACACTACCTTGTTCTAAAGCAACTGCGTCTAAAGAAAGACAAAAATTACTGAAGATATGTTTCCAGCTTTATTGAGATAAGTGCCAGGAGAAAAAAACAAAATAATGACAAAAAGGCAAATACAAGACAAAATACCAAAAGTTGGCAAAATGAAAATCTAAAACAACTCCAAAAGTACACATAAGTGATTGCTATTGTTAGAAGTCATAAAATCATAACAATAATAATAAAAATACATTTTGCCAATCTTCCAAGCTTGTGTGGTGATGTTTAAAGGATTTGAATGCGTAAGTCTAAAAACTGTAATAAATGAATAGATAATTGAACTAATAAATTAATTAAAATATCTTGGATAGTAATAAAATAATATTCAATTAAGACAAGTGGAATCACATATCAAGTGTGCCAAGATCTTTGAAGCCCGAGCACCTAACTTCCTCAGCATGGGTTTGAGGGACATGGGTTTGAGTCCTGTCTCAGGTGAGGATGTTTGCTGGTGTTGTGGCATGATGGGGCTCTCTCTACAATCACGCATCACCCTTGAACCCCTTGATTCTTATCAAACATTCCCATAACTGGTCATTTTTTTAAAGATTTTTTGTTTTAATTTAGACATTTGTATGTGACAAACTTTAAAACAATGAGCAAAAAGAAACACTACTTGGTCTCTAAAGTTATTGTCTAACTGCTGTTGCTCTATACTATGGTAGCAAGAGCTCTACATTAACAACAGATCAGATGTTAGTTTTTCTTCAGAAATTATATTTCTGTATTTTCTAGCAGAATATTCACTAATAGTCCACAAAATTTGTGGGGTAATTAGAGAAAAACTGCATATTGAGTCTATTACAGACAAAAATAAATAATACAGAGGAAACTGGAAAGATCATGACCAGAGAATTCCAGAAAATAGAATAAGTAAAATTTTCCTACAATACAATATCAGGAGGAATTCAAATGGAAAAAATATTTTCAAAAGTAGATAAAAGGGAAGACAGTTTTTTTCTCAAAGAGCTTTTAATTTATAATATCTTAAGCTTCTTCATATTTCATATATTTTTTCAATTGTCAAATATGCATGGACACAATCATTGTCATCACAATTCAGTTGATCATATCAATTAAGCAGTATTTTCAGTAGCTCTGGCAGTACTGGTTGCGCGTTTCAATAGGGCAAAGAAAAATAAATATTACAGAGATTTGCTATAGAAATGGATTTATCGCAGTCAAATAACTGACTAAATTGTTTACGCTCAAGTGTGTAACAAACTGAAATGAAACTTTTTGAAGCCTTTCCAGTGTAAATTTTGATTCTTTTACGTTTTACATTAATTTTGAGTATATTGTGACAAGAAAGTCCAAATTTTGCAGCACATCGGACAGCACAATGACAAATACATCAAAGACAATTGGAAAGAAACAAATTACTCATGTAGAGATTTCTAGCCCTATATCAGAGCTGCAAGAGGTTTTAGAGGATTGATATCTTTCAGCTTGGCAAATATTATACTCAAGGCTCCTATTTCAGATCGTTTTCTTTTTAAAGCAGAATAATAAGCAATTTTGAAATTCCTTGGAGAAGTACTTTCAGAGAAAGATTCCAGATAAACTTTCAATGAGAAAGAGAAATCTGATAGTTCAGTACAATGAAGTATACTTTGATTTTTCTATAGTGGCCAATGACATTGAGCCATTACTACACCTCCTGCCTTATAAAATGAATCTTTTTAACAGCGGTAAGCACGTTTCTGAGACCATGAGCTCTGTTGAGAAGGCCGTTTGCAAATTAATTAAAAAGATTCATTTTATAAGGCAGGAACTATAACAATGACCCAATGTCATTGGCCACTATAGAAAAATTGAAGTATAGTGCATGAGACCAAAGATGATATGAAAGAGCATTAAGTAGCTTCGTAAGAAGTATTTTACGGATAAAACATTTTTATTTTTGTGCATAATTAATTATTTATGTATATTTCACTGATCATAAGTGCATAAATGCCTGCATGTTGTGTTTAAGAACATACAAATCCAATTTCCAGTCATGGAATATTTACATGAACGGGTTCCCTCTTACATTATACATGAACCACTTTCAGGGCCATATCATTACAAATAGTTCATGATGATTGGGATATCTCCAACACACTGTTCAGTCAGCATTATTTTTAGTATTTATATACAACTTTGTCTGACTAAAGGAAGTAAGTGACATGAGATTGTCGTTTAGTTACATTAAATAATTTTTGTCAATATTTCATTAATAAATGCTCAATTGCCTGACATTTTGGTTGCACTACCTCACGAAAAATTTGTAATATTTCTATTACAGAAACCAGTTCAAAAATACTCGAGAATTTTTCATTCAATGGTAATTTGCATTGCAAATAAAGCTCTTGAAACACTAATCATTGAAGACTGACATCTGAAACTTGGTATTCATCCATTAAAAACAAAGAGGCAACATTGGGTTATAGTGTCTGCAAGGACACTAACAATCTAGATCTATCAGACCTGTCTCAATGCCCAACAAATCCACACTTACGAGAACAGGATATGAAAATTGGGAAACCATGACACTCCAGATAAAAAAATTCAGTAGTGTGGATTAAATAGTTTCCTCCAGCCCCTAATGTGTAGTATCCTCTGAGACAAGTAATTTGAAAAGTTCATACATTTTCTACACTACTTTGACATCTACTATCTTATTTATACATAAACTTAGAATTATATATTTACAAAAGTTTAAACATATTGATTTAAGAATAATTTGTTATTATATATTTGAAAATATAATTAGCACAAATTCAGGTGTAAACATAAATAATTGCAGCGTGTAAATTTAAAATTCATGCTTACGTTATCATGCATATACCATCACATGGTTGTTGCAACACTAGCAATGAGATACAAATGCTTCATGGAATTAGATATTTCTGAATTGATACATTACAGATTTTAATTGGTTCACTAGTGTAAAGTTTATGTAATACTCTAGATACATGGTCAAGAACATACTGATGCTGCCTGTATCATTAAATAAAAATAAATTATTAATGTTCATTGTGAAGAACTCAAAATGAAAATATTCTATTCAAACACTTCAGGACTAAAGTTCAGACAGACACCCATTAACGCTAAATCCGGTGAGTGATTTAGGACACAAAAATAATGTTGGAAAAGATAAACCCAATTTTTTCATATTTTTAAATGAATTTCTAAAACAAAAATTGAAATTAAAATTTTTCTTTTGCATACATTATGGTAATAAAGATAAATTTTGAAGTCTTATCTTGACTATAGCAAAAACAAAATTTTGGATAAACAAATTATACTGAGAGGAAAAAAGGTGGGAGATCAGACACATAAGAAGTAAACAAAGCTGAAGGGATCATTAAAAGATTACTGTGTGAAAAAGGCAAGAGATTTAAAGACATTACAGAATTGAACTTTTAGAATTTTTGTTGGCAAAAAGCAGAAGCAATACAGTTCACCATAGGGAAAGAAATACCATATTTATTGCATATAAACAACATTAGGAGGCTACTTCAATTGTTGCTTTTAAGGTACTGAGGTAATAAGGTACTTTTAGTGTACAGAGCAAAAGTCAATCATAATATATTTTCCGGCCTTGAATGTAGAAAATAAGTGTTTGATGTTCAAAGCAAAAACAACAAGAAATAAATAATATATTTTACTTCAAACTTACTCAGTCGCCAAAGGCATATATTTGGATGTTTTGCACTCCTATGGGTAAATGTAAATTTCAGACCTTCCCGTTCTTAGTAAAGACTCAATAATTAATCGTATTTGGGTGGTCAAATGAAAGAGTGGACCTTATGGACTGTACTATTAATCTTTATTTCAACTGTCCTCCAAAACAAATCATAAATATTCAAATCAATGAAATTCCGGAAAGTACAAAAACAATTATGGATCAAAAAATATTTAACTTTGTGATATTACTTTCAAGTTTATTATATTTTCGGACTATGAAACATAAATAATTGTTTAGCATTTGTATGTAAGCTTCTTGAAGATATGCTTAATTTGATGAAGTTGTTTCGTTCTTTGCCTAAACTATAGAGGGTAATAATTAATAAGTAAATTGACAAAACATACCTGACATCATTCACTTTCAATTCGAATTTTCGCTCGCAGAGCTCCGCCTTGACAGCGAATAGTGTCGACAGAACTTCATCAGTGAAGCCAGTCAAATGTCCTTTGGAAATATTAGATGTCTGTGGCGGAGGACTCTGCAACAAATCCTCGGCAATCGTCAAAGCGTATGGATTTTTGCGACGATTGTGTTGTCTAGATTCCGGTCTTGTGTCAGCAGCATAAGGATACCTAAACAAAAGTCTATCTCCTTTGCTGTCACTTTTTACTAGGATGATGTTTAATGGGTTGGGATCCACAGCCTTTTGAGGGTACATTGTTTTAAAATAGTTCTATAATTTTCTTATATATTTTCAATTATGTTAAGATTAAAACAAAGTTCCTCCGCACTGATCCGGAAGAAAAAATAAAGTTCACATCATAACCTCAAACTTTCCTCACTGACACAAAGCGGCCCATAACCAAGTTGTCAAACCGCGACTGGTCCGACTGGCCTCAGGCAACTGTTGTGCAACTCATCGTCGTAAGATTCTACGTATGTAGTAGGCTTCATTGGGCGTCGCATGCACATGTTGCATGGTTAGGTAACAATCTATAATCGTGAGATGTCTTTCCGAGTTAACCAAAGATCTGATCAGAAAATCTCTGAATTTTAGAAAATTCAAAAGATTTACATACTTTAAATCACCGACACAAAATAATATTCAAGATAGGAAAAACATGAATTTTATAAATTTATAAATAATCTGTATTATATATAAAATAATAATCTAAATTCCTCCACGCCATAGAACAACTATTCGTCCATGGCTAGACTCTACACCAAGGTGTAAGATATATTCCATCCACCGTTCTTTACACCGCGATCATTGATATCATATATGAGTGGGTGAATACCAAAAGGGTGTGTGACATTTTTCAAGTTCTGAAAGAAAAAAAAATTAAGCTATATTTCAAGGTTTTAATAAACAATAAAAATGCCATAGTCTTTTAATGGTAAAACGAAGCACCACGACTCTACAGTTACGATGACTTAAATAAAAACACGTGATATTTATACCGTTCTGGTTTTCACCCATTCATGTATTAAAACTGTAAAGAGAAAGATTTTAATGTCCCTTCTATTCCTCTCCCAGTGAACAAGTGAGACACCAAACAGAAGAAAACAAAATTAGGAGTGTATATCACTATAAATTGAATAGATCACACCTTTCCTTTATTAATAACAAGCTACGGAATTTATGTTGTTTGAAATGCGCGGCTAGAGTGGAAAAAGCAAAATGATGTCATGCGCAACTTGGCGAGTTCGCGGGAATGAAAGAGCAGCTGATGTTGTTTAGAGAATATTATTTGTGTAATCGTTAAAACGATTGTTTGTGGCTATCAGTTGTAAGTATTCAATGTACTTTCTTATATATAATTCTTGTGATATCTACGGAACACGTCGAAGAGGTAAGGATGTCTGATAATTATTTGGAAACTGCGTTTCATAAATTTTGTTACATATATTAAGGTAAGTTTGATAGCAGGATTTGCTATTATAGAGCAAAACAATATTCATGTATATATGTGTAAAATCTTGGTAAATATGAATCCTAATGTATATTCAAGGCAGGCGCGGATCCACAAGGAGGGAAATGAGGGAAATTTCCCCTCCCAACATTTTTAAGTAACTATTAATTTTAACTTGTCACGAAACATTCAAGCAAAAATATTTTCGTATAATCCTTACGAATAAAATTGTTTCGCAACATGAGCTGGCTTTAGCTTGCGTCATTCTACATAATCTGTCATACGACACATTCGACCAAAACATTTTGAATAAAGTAATTTTGTCTTCCAAAATTCGTCTTTGGATTCGCCCCTGTTCAAGAATATGCAGTATTATTCCTACAGCACTACCTTCTGTGTTGTGTAATCGCACGGGTTCCGCTAGAGTAACATAAATGTGAATATATGAATGTGTTCAAGTCTGGTGCGGTCTAATTCCTTATCGTACCGAGTTTATTCCGTCCGACTGTGAACGAAACTGAAGAACGAGTGGTAGTAATACCAAGGTTATGTAGACCAAATGAGAATGCGCGTTTTAATTAATTAATTAAACAAGTATTTGCGAACAGAAAACTTAGGAAACTATGCGTTTCAAAGGCTTCGGGAGCATTTACAAAAATCGAGTAGGCCGAAGATTATTGATTGATTAGTACTCATATTTAATTATTTACTCATTTCTCGATTAAATGTTTCCGAGTGCATCAACTGCTGTGGTCATTGTTTCAGTAAATTAAGGTATGCTTTATCACAAGAGGTGGCGATGTTCTTTCTCGGATGGATAATAATAATAATAATAATAATAATAATAATAATAATAATAATAATAATAATAATAATATTTATTGAGTCACAGGTTGAGTCTTTGGATGGTAAATTTCATGTCATAACGTAAAATTAATACATATAATACTAAAAGGCTTTGTTATACAGTAAAATAAAAATATTCATAAATATCCGCTCCATACTGCTTACTATTCTTCATACGATTGGTGTTGATAGGAAATATAAACTCCAACAATTGTCGTTTGTACCTGTGATTCTCTTCTTATGATTGGTGGCGTTTTGATCACGTACACTTGATCCAGAAAGCATTTATTCCCTCTTAAACTATGCGCCGCGAAACAAATAACGAAAGATTAAGCTTTGCGTTTTTTTTTTTTTTTTTTAAGTGACTGTATAACGCAACAGCTACACAAGATCAGCGTATGCGTGTTTTGATCAGAGAGTATAGATATATCCTAGGTAATATCTTGGTTAAATCAGTTTCAGCCAATAAGTTTGAGAGCATCAATTTTCAGCGGGAATTTCAAATTTAGCACGAATGAATGCACTAGCGATTATCATACTAAATCACACAAAATGGCATTCAAAGCTAAATATAAAAAACGGGATCCGAAGATTCCAAGTTCGAGTCCGACAATCAAGGCGTTTGACTTCGGAACTGAGAACTGCAGATTCGAGTCCTGTCACGGTCGCTCTGACACTTTACTGTTCCTCTTTTCACGCTTCGTTCAAGCAAGCGTGTTCCGCACATCAAACGTCGATCGTGTAGCATAATGGATAAGGCGTCGGACTTCGGATCCGAAGAGCGCAGGTTCGACTCCTGTCACGGTCGCTGAAACACTTTACTGTTCATCTTTTGACGTTTCCTGCAAGCAAGCGTATTCTGTATGCCAAGAGGGTGACCGTGTGGCCTAATAGATAAGGCGTCGACATCGGATCCGAAGATTGCAGGTTCGAGTCCTGTCACGGTCGCTGAAACCCTTTACTGTTAATCTTTTCACGTTACGTTCAAGGGAGCGTGTTCTTCAACCCAATAGTGCGACCGTGTGGCCTAATGGATAAGGCATTGGACTTCGGATCCGAAGATTGCAGGTTCGAGTCCTGTCACGGTCGCTGAAACCCTTTACTGTTAATATTTTTACGTTTCCTTCAAGGGAGCGTGTTCTTCAACTCAATAGTGCGACCGTGTGGCCTAATGGATAAGGCGTCAGACTTCGGATCCGTAGATTTCAGGTTCGAGTCCTGTCACGGTCGCTGAAACCCTTTACTGGTAATTTTTTACGTTTCCTTCAAACGAGCGTGTTCCGCCCCCAATTAGGTGACCGTGTGGCCTAATGGATAAAGCGTCGGACTTCGGATCCGAAGATTGCAGGATCGAGTCCTGTCACGGTCGTTGAAACCCTTTACTGTTAATCTTTTTACGTTTCCTTCAAGAGAGCGTGTTCCGCCCCCTCGTGATCGTGTGGCCTAATGGATAGGGCTTCGGACTTCGGATCCGAAGATTGCAGGTTCGAGTCCTGTCACGGTCGTTGTAACCCTTTACTGTTAATCTTTTTTACGTTTCCTTCAAGAGAGCGTGTTCCGCCCCCAAGTACGTGACCGTGTGGCCTAGTGGATAAGGCGTCGGACTTCGGATCCGAATATTGCACGTTCGAGTCCTGTCACGGTCGCTGAAACCCTTTATTGTTAATCTTTTTTACGTTAGCTTCAAGAGAGCGTGTTCCGTCGCCCCACCAATCAGGTGACCGTGTGGCCTAATGGATAAGGCGTCGGACTTCGGACCCGTAGATTGCAGGTTCGAGTCCTGTCACGGCTTCGGATCCGAAGATTGCAGGTTCGAGTCCTGTCACGGTCGCTGAAACCCTTTACTGTTAATCTTTTTACGTTTCCTTCAAGAAAGCGTGTTCCGTCCCATAATTAGGTGACCGTGTGGCCTAATGGATAGGCGTCGGACTTCGGATCCGAAGATTGCAGGTTCGAGCCCTGTCACGGTCGCTGAAACCGTTTACTGTTAATCTTTTTACGTTTCCTTGAAGGGAGCGTGTTCCGCTCACTAATTGGGTGACCGTGTGGCCTAATGGATAAGGCGTCGGACTTAGGTTCCTAAAATGGCAGGTTCGAGTCCTGTCGCGGTCGCTGAAACACTTTAGTGTTAATCTTTTTACGTTTCCTTCAAGAGAGCGTGTTTCGCTCACTAATTGGGTGACCGTGTGGCCTAATGTATAAGGCGTCGGACTTCGGATCCTAAGATGGCAGGTTCGAGTCCTTTAACGGTCGCTGAAACACTTTAGTGTTAATCTTTTTACGTTCTTTCAAGAGAGCGTGTTTCGCATGTCAATAGGGCGACAGTGTGGCCTAATGGATAAGGCGTCGGACTTCGGATCCGATGATTGCAAGTTCGAGTCGTGTCACGGTCGCTGGAACCCTTCACTGTTAATCTCTTGGCGTTTCCTTCAAGCAAACTTGTTGCGTACGCTAAGAGGGCGACCGTGTGGCCTAATGGATAAGGCGTCGGGCTTCGGATTTGGATATTGCATAAATTTAGGTAAGTAGTGTCAGCCAATACTGAGCGGGTCGAGTGCGGGAGAATTGCTGTTGGAGGGAGTGGCGGTATCTCGTTGGTAGGCGTTCTCTCGTGACGTTGGAGGTTTTTGAGCGATTTGCAGGCCACAAGGCAGCTTGCGAGAGGAGCTACGTGGCCCGAACGGTGTGTGCATTTCCCGGCAACTCGTTATAGTAATCGTGGACAAAGTTGGAGTTGTTGACTATATTGTGCCCTAGTGTCACTGAATGCAGCTTCTGGTAAGGGTCACCAACTTTCGTCGATAAAAATTGGTCAAGAAATGCGAATCCACTTTGATTTTGATTTCTTAAACAAATTACAAAAGAAGGTTATTAGTATGGATTTATTTTCTAAAATTCTTTAATTCATAGTAATACACGCATGAAAGAAAAGGTAGCGCAAGCAGCGGCGCGATCTTTTGTGGCGCGTGTGTTTGCCTCCTGAGTACCCACGCACGTTTTAAATAACGTTGGTAGCAGTTCGAGTTGTAGTTCGTGTAAGAAGATGATGCTCTAGAGCGCGCCACTGTAATGGTCCCAGTACCACCTTTTATGGGAGTTATAGGGCCCTGGTGGTGCCGCGCACGTCGCTGAGGCTAAGCCGCTGCGAGGTGCCACCGAGAGGACGGCGGGGGCCGTGGAGACCGATAAAGAACCAAGGTAACGGGCGACCACTTGTTAACGGTGCTGTGAAACGCGCTGCAGGTCTGAAGCAAGGTCTTGTAACTCTGCATCAAAACCTGGGACCAAGCTGGGGGTTGCTATGATAGAAGGCGGTAGTGTTGCCAGGTGCAGCTGCAGGTTTTAATCGCCTTCTTTCCCACATCCAAATTGGTTAATTGAGAATGAGAATGAGCAAAATTAACACTTCGCTAAACACGTAAACATCACATGAAATTCAGAGACGTGGCCCTCCGCCGCTGCACTTGTTCATACACGCCTCTTCGTGAAGTGTTTATGTTTGTACGTGGCTCCCGTTACATTATTGCTTCTCATGGTTCACAAGCGTGTAACTATATAAAAAATAAATTAATAAAACGCAAACCACGAAACGTCACAGATCACAGCTCGCCTCTTTACCGCAATGTAGGAAATTTATGCGCCAGTACGCGTCTGACAATTAAGACGTTGTTTTCAAATAAACATAATACTTATCACACAAAAAATGGAACGTGTATATAAAAAATATTTTTTTCAAATGAGCACAGTAGCACTGCACTACCTAATTTCAATTATTTTTCGGATATTGTCGACGGACAGGGACACCACATAAGAAAGCGTCAAAGCCATATACAAGTTAGCCAACTGCAAACAAACGAATGAAGGATGACACATGGTGATAGTCAAATGGACTGAAGGACACAACTACTTAACCTTCAGTTATGTCGGCTGGCGTTCGGTCTCCGCGCTTGGAATGTACCAGGATACGGTCTTTACCCTCTTCTCGGCGGCCTGACTTCGACTGTCTTACACTTACTGATTCCTTTGTACTTCAGCTAACAATTCTTTAACGTTTTCACAATTCTGTACCCTGCCTATATTAACTTAAATAACTCACAGTCGCTAATAGTACTTCGATTCCTTCGTACGACGTCTATAATGCGTATCCATTCTGCTTTCATACTTTGGAAGCTCATCGCATTCGAATAAATTTCCAACTTCTCGTTCTATTTCGTCAGTTTAATTCTCATCTATCGGTCTCTTTGTGATTCTAATGCACTTTCGTAAAAAATGTCTGCTCCAGCCCAACGTTCTTGTACGAGCCGTAAAGCCAAAAAAGAACTCACATCACGGCATATCGTAAAAGAATTGGGCTCCGCTTCGACCTCCAAGCTACTTGCGTCGGACCTCTCCATAGTAAGGGGAAGCGTGACGTCATGACGCCTCCGAGTTGGTCGCAATGTTGAGATCAGTCGCTAATAGATCGCGCTCTTTCTGACCGCTCTGTTGACCACACGTGGTCAATTGGGACAATTGAAGATATTGCCGAACGTCACTATATATATATATATATATATATATATATATATAGCTTCCGGCGGCACTCTCGTCTATATCTTTAAGGAGACGTTGGGGTCTTTGAGTCCCCGGGCCGTAGCCCGGATGGTCTCCACACTTGGCTTCGGGGTGGCAGTGGCCCGATACCCTGGGCAAAGATGAGGGTCTTGTCCCGGTACATTGATTCAACTCTGGTCTTGCCACCAGCAGCTCTGAGTGGGAAGGGCGGCCCGAACTAAGCATTGAGTGAGAAAGTTCCCAAGGGGTAATTGCGTTCTGGGGGGATCCAGAGAGCAGTCTGAAGGTGTTCTTGCAGTGGATAGGGGTTCAGATGAAAGCTGAGTGCCTAGGTGCCCACCCCAGAGAGCAATCCGATTGGTAGAATAAGAAAGTATGTGAAGTTATAGTACACGCGGGATATAGTATAGTTGATACTGACTCTCCAAGTTCTCTGCCGGGCCCTTATATACCGGCTCTTTATCGTAACTGCAACCCACGTATGAAATCAACACCGCATGTTTCGGCAATGCGTTTCACTTTTAGCAACCCCCGGCCACATGCCCTCAGATATCGGGCTGAATGTGGCTAATTTTAGTTGCAAGATTGAGAAAGCACCAATCACTGTGTTATTCTACTCTTCAACGTACTGCAGCCCCTTCACTGAAAAGAGCAAACACTGGTCTCACGGTAAATGGTGGTCACGTTAACTATCTATTCGAAGGTTAGTTTCTTTTGTAACTTTTTCTGTCTTTATTTTAAGATATCGTTACTTCTTTGCCGATCCCTTCGTTGGCGATATCGCGACGAAATCTCATGTGTGATCCCTAAACTTTGCCAATCCCTTTTCATTGTGCAATGTTCTGATCCATACCCTTGTATTTGTTTTGAAATCACTTCTTCTTAATTTTGTCTCTTGAATTTATATCCCTTCCAAAATGTAATTTGATTAGTATAATTGTTCAGTTAAATTTTTGTTCTCTATGCGCTCTGATTTGTTTTGATGATATTGCCTATATAATTTGAATACTGATTCTATTATTTGTCCATCAATGAGTATTTTGACTCGTTTCTTTTTTCTTGATACGCCATCGATTTTGTGTTTTGAATGAAGTAGAATTTCCTTTGAAGACTAATGGTACTCCATTAAAAATCCTTGCATTGTTCTTACATGTTGCACATTTGTATCATTTGTTCAATAGCAGTTTGGAACTTCCAGAAAACTGTGGCCAGATCTTTCTTAGAATTCAGAGTAGAGATAAAATTCTGAGCCTCAAATTATCCTTTTAAAATTTTTGACACATGAATTTAACATATTTTTATTATCAATATAAACAGTAATCATTTCAAACAAAATAACTTTGTCTTCTAGTTATCAATAATTTGAAGTACGTATCCAGTTCCAAACAAACCAATACTTAGTACATTTTTTTGTATATTGGCCTCTATCAATGTACTTTGTTCATTGTCCATTACACATGGTGATATTTTTGTGTAAACACTGTCAAACATTATCAGTTTACAATTGTTTCTTACTTGTTTATGTGCTTATGATTTTGCAATGAAAGTGTATCTATGCAAAATGACCTAATATGCAGTTTGAGAACAGAGAATGAGCAAAAATCAAAGTTACTTAAAGAGTTCACCTTCATTCATACATCATGGGGTGCTCATACATGTAATAGAATTTAAGTTTCCATTACAATCAATATCTTTCTGTTCCCCTTACAAGTCTGATTATAAATGGTACTTTAGTGTTTGCCACCACTTTCAAAGTCAAATAATGTATAACAGTGAATGAGTGTAATTGTCATTAATTTCAAGAAAGACATTTGGATCACTGTTCTCATCATCGTTGGTTAAAAAATGTATGTTATATTTGCAATTGGCTTTTTGAAACAAAATATTTACAATATAAATTCAGTTATTTTAAAGGAAAGTAGTAAATAATGAAATTCAATAACACATTTTTTTTATATCTGAAGTATCACAATACATATTCTTCATTTTATAAGAAAAGTTCTAATGTATATTTTTGCAACACAGAAGTATTATATGATTCAACTACAATTAATGATACAAACACATTGAACACTTAAAAGAATATTCTGAACTTAAAAGAGAACTTTAACTCCTTTCAATAAAGCGAAACTTTAAAGGTTTGTTAGGCATTGCAATGAGTCTATTGGTAGGTTGGATGGCCCCGTAATTGTATTCCACAGTGAAGTTGCGGAATATCTGGAAATGATAAAAAAAAAAAAAAAAAGATTGAAGCAAAAAATTAACTCTCACAAAGATAAAATTTGATTCAAACACTGTCATTAATTAACACCATTCAAGCAGTTGAGCAAATAAATAAAAAAAACTTGCTTTAATTTTCAACGAAAAGTGCTGTTTTTCATCACTTTTCTTATTTTACTAGGGTCTTAAAGTCACCAGCATACCTTTGCGGCAATGAGCATAAGCTGAGCATCAGCCAGGTAACGAGCAACACATGATCGAGGTCCATGGCCATATGGCAGTGTAGCAAAGGGATGAGCATCCTCGTTAGCCTTCAGCCATCTTTCAGGATAGTACTTTTTAGCATCTTCAAAATTTTCTTCTTTCATACTAGCCACATGTGTTGTCATAAGCACCATTGTCTAAATTAAATTGCATAAAAATTATGTTATTTCCATTTCAAACAGCAAAAGTATTTTTTTTTTTTTGTTGTATTAAAAAAAATATTTTTATGAATAATAATAATAATAATAATAATAGTTTAATTGGTTTTCTTTATTCACCATTAGAGGCCATAATAAGTCTTATGACTTAACATCAGATGCTCAATTAGTCACAAATGCATTATGATTGTTACAAACATCTTACAATAATTTAGAATGCATTTATTTATGAGTTACAATATCATATATGTGTTCCAAAATTATGAACAGGGCCATATTAACCCTTGCAGAGGCCCCGGAGCAGTTGTGTATTGTCCTTGAAATACAATTCATTCCATTATTCAATTCAGATTTTTATTTAGGAAAAGGAAAAAAATCTTAATTTGTATTTCTACTCAAAAAGTGATGCCAAACAATACTCGTTATGATGCATTTTAGAAGTAACTTATACTTTTTTGAGAAACTTGCATGACAACAATATTTTATGCTTTCTTTTTATAGGCATGAAATTACAAGAAGTACTATCTAAGCTAAAGAATCTACTTTAAAGTCATAATATAAAAGATAGAATATAAAAGTGATGTTGACCAATTTACTGTTGGAAAAACAATTTTTTTCCTGCCTATCAAAGAGACTGAAATACACATGAATTGTTTACAATTCATTCAGTTAAAATTGCTTATTTTCATTTTTGTTTCCAAGAAAACAATAGAAAAGCTTCAAGTTTTTTAAGATTCACAAATTTGTATTGAAGCAACAACGCAAGTTTTAAAATGAATGCTGCATTTTCTGAATTAAGTTTTACTTGATCTTTCTGGATATAATATATTAAAAGAATTAATTTTTTCATAATCCAAATTTAGAACATTGATAAGTTTCAGAGGGTAGATCGAGTACAAAATTAGGTACTTCAGTGGTAGAGGAAACAACTTATCAAATGGTCAAACAATCAAATGGTTTTTATTTTCGTTTATGTTTACAAAATGGTAAACATTTCTTGTCATAAAATTCAGTAGCTCTTCCTAGGGCATTTTGTTCATTTTCATCACAATTTGTTTCCATAAAACGCATTTAATTTTCTCGCCTTACTACGTAAGATGAGAAAGTATTGTAATTGTCCGCAGGAAATTGCAATTTTTCGACTTCCTCAAACGCGTTGTGTACCAAAAATCCATGTTTTGGGATTTTTTGTTATCGAAAAATTGATTGATTGCAAAATGTCTGTTATTTCATCTCTCTGTGGTTAACGCTTGTGCTTCAGGTGGTAAATGCTTCAGATGATGTTTTCCAAAATTGATATTCCCCGATCAACATAAAGGAACTCAAGGCCCTATAATTTTGGTCAGGATATTTTAATTTTTTGGGGAAGTTGATATGACCCTTGATTTCAAGATTTTCTCAAAAATGGCTCCCAGTTTTTTTACTATGAGTATTTATCACAATCTATGTACATGCACACTGGTTAAAGATAATTTAAAAACTGTCTTCTAACTGTATTCAGATGACTATTTGTGTTATTTACTATTTCCATAAGCTGCAATTCATTTGGGTATTTGATTTTGTTTTCAAGGAAAATCGGAATATGCATATGTTGATGCTTACCCCTCTTGGAACACGGTAGTTGTGAAGAGCAATATCCTTGGGAAGAATTCGAGTCAGAACAGGTATAGGAGGATTCATCCTGCCAATATGAAAATTTTATTAACAATATTTATCACCAATAATCAACCAATAATATTCTAATTTTGCTCGTACAACATGTCTTCATTATATATATTATTGAGTCAAACAGGTTTACAATGACACCATTGAATTTAGTGAGAGTTCTAAACATTTCATATCTGTTTGCCTAATTTGAGAAAAAAAAAAAAAAAAAAAATCAAAACTGGTAAATGAAAAAGTACTAATTAAAATTTGACATCACTAAAATTTCTTAAAAATGTGAAATGAAAAGGAAAACTTAAGGTTGACTACTCGCTTAAATAAAATATATTCAAAACAATTGTAAATGTTGTTAAAACTTGGAAAAATGTCAAAAAGTAATGCAAAGTCCCAAGAGATGTAAAATTATAAATCTCAATAAATTTCTATTCTGAAAAGAAAATTACTACAATAATGACTGCATGACCTTTCCCTTTACATCACAAATTTTTTCTTACAAAATTCTGTTAATGCATTTTTATCAATCAATGTTTATTTTCTATGGCCTGGCTCAGTACATCAAGCCCCCTTATCAGTCTGATCGTGGAAATTTTGTTGTGGTCCTTTTGCTATCTAGCAGAGAAAGAGGGTGTCACTCAGGCAATGAAATAGTCAATTTGAATTTTGTTCAGAGGCTTCTTTCAGGCTCGAGGATCTTTTACATGCAATAAATCTACAACTTAGGACAGCCGGCTTTAATTCCCATCTCAAGGAAGTCATACGAAATACTTTTTTTGCCCTTAAAATCCTCATCTTTGAACCCGTGAACTTGAGGATAACATTTCCTACAAAAGGTTCAGGAAAGAACAGCTTTACCTGAGACTCTCTCGCAGGCAAGCCTGCAAGAACATCAGTCTCTCTGGTGTCTTAGCTTCCACCTCGAGCAGCGGAGCAATCGGTGTGTGGGGTTCAGGAATCACATGAACCAGTTCATCGTACAAGTTGCGCTGCACCCGGGGGTTCTTGGCCATGCGGTAAAGAAGGAAACTGAGGGCATGTGCTGTGGCATTAGCCCCCAGGAGAAGCATGTCCAAAACTACGGTGAGTAAGTCGTCTGCTGACATGCCACCATCCAGTACCAGAGCATCAAGGAGAGGCATGGGCCGGCTAAAAAATGGTAGAAAAAAATAATTTGGATATTTGAAATAATATTGAGTAATTTAATTGAAATGCCCTGCAGGTCATTATTTAAATTCTGCAGAGATCAGATGTGTTATTTGGTCAGAACATTGCATCTTCAAGAGCATCAATTCATTTGAGAAATAACTGTTCCCACAGCGTACTTACTATAAAGAGTGTTATTACTTCTAGTTTTTTTGCTTTCAAACATAACTTACATCAAGACCATAAATCTCGATAAACTGAAACGTTGCATTTGCTTCACAATACTTTTCATATATTTCAATTGTTTCAATGACATAGCCGAAAATTTAACAGTTATGAATTATTACTAAGAATAAATAGGATTATGAGGATCTTTGTACGTTATGAAGGCATAACCATGTTTTACAAATTTATGGCTCAGAAACCTGGATCATTAAACATGAGGAATAATGAAAGATGGAAAAAATCTGAAATGTACGTCCTGAGATATCTTCATGGTTGTGCCAGTCTTGATCAACAAAGAAACAAAAATATTAGGGAAAAACTCAAGACAACAAGATAAGAGAGGAAGTTTAAAAGATTCAGAAGGAATGAACAGAACATTTTAGGAGGACATATATAGGCCTAATGCTTGGATAAAAAAACACATTAAGAAACTTAATAAAAATACCACTTTTTTAAATAATATATTATAAAACTTATATGTTAATTAATAATAGATTAATTTGATAATTGTATAACACTTGCAAAAAAAAACAGTTATTCAATGTGTATGCTTCCTGATAACAGGTTGAAAACATCCACAAAAATTTAATTCAACTACTTTAATAAAAAAGGGATAAAGACAAGAAACTAATCCTTTCCCAATTAAAAAAAATTAAAAATACAGATGCCACTTTTTATGAACAATGTTGTTGAATAGAATTTGGAAACTTTCATTCACTTAATAATGATTTTTTGACTATTATGTAATTGCAAATGGTTTTTACTAACTAATTTTTGAACATGAAGCTGCACTCTTAAAAACTGATATATGAGATGAAAACTAATGGTACCAAACTGTTATATAGATTGAATTAAAGAGAAATATAATTAATAAACAGTACAATAGGTTTAAGTGTAGTTTTTAATAAACATATAAATAAGGTTAAGAAAGTGATAAAAGTTCAAGGAATGTTCACAAAATCTAACAGGACCCATGGAAGATCTTAAGAGTCATAAAGCAGATGAATATAATTCAAAGTAAAAGCAGTGAAGGAAAATTGAAAGCGAGTTGAACTAGTGGATTTCAGAATAGCACAGACTTTCTTGTAGTACCTGTTTTTTATTCCCTTTCCTATTTTTAGATCTTAAGGCATCATTGATCATACAATTTTGCTTTCAAAATTACCTTAATTTGGAATTTGTGGTATTGCTTTAAATTTTATATCCTTGTTCTTCAAACATTGTTTGCAAGAAGTTGAAAAACTGACTCAAAAGAACATTATTTATTCATTTCTCCCATTCCTTGACCACGGGGTCTTCGTGCTTCGGACCGTGGGACTTCGGGGTCCCACAGGATTCTTTCTTAGTCCCTAACCCCCTTTGTTTTATATGTAAACAAGTATGCCCTTTTCCATTATAAATGGAAGAAAAGTTCTGTTTGCTGATGGCATGAAAGTTCTTTGCAAAAAAGAAACAATAATTAGTATGATATAAGATGTTTGAAAGTGGTTTCTTAATAACAAATTAATACTTAATAACGGAAAAATATTTTAATGGAGGTTTGCATTTTAAACAGGTAACTGCATGCACCATTAAAAATGAACAATATGTAATATGGCTGATGTAAAGTTAACAAAATTTCTCGTGTCACAATTCCAGGGCCGGATTTAAGTAGTGCGGGGCCCCAAGCACAAAATTGTGTCCCCCCCCCCCCCCGGAAAAATAGCTCCATCTTTATTAAATAAAAAATTTGTTAAAGTATCAATTACAAACGAGGTTTGCATAAAAAAAATTACATATTCAGTTATAAGTAAGGAAATAAAGATAGTTACATATTGAGCTAATTTAACATGTACATAAATATTTTTTAAAAAAGTTTTTTAAAATGTACATTTTGTTACACAGTTAGACTAACTTGATTAACAATTATTTCACAGTCAAAAAAATATGGTATGTGTATTTTCCGAACGCGGGGCCCCTGGTGAATGGGGGCCCCCAAGCAACTGCTTGTTTTGCTTGTAGGTAAATCCGGCCCTGCACAATTCAGCCGAACCTCAAATGTAACATCCATATAAATGAATTGAACATGAAATTAAATGTATTTTTATACATTTGGAATTTGTTCAAATTTATCATGAATTGCATGTATTTGGCGAATTTACATTCTCACCTGAGATATGACCTAATTTGTGTATGCCTAGCCTGTTTATTTATGAATCAGTAGTTTTTGTCAAAACTGACTTATTAAAGGCTGGGGACATATTTTCATGCCACACAAATATTTATAATCAGAACACATAATGAAAGAATCAGTTTTATAGACAGTATCAACAGTTCACTACAAGAAATCCTCTTTGTAATACATTTACGTTACTTTACAACGTACTGCCAAATGGCATTTAAGAATGAAAATTGATGCCCAAGTTAAAGGGCCAAGTAAAATATTTTCTGCTGCATAACTATTTCTATATAAGTAGAGCGTGTATTGACCATCAAAAAAGAAAAAAACAAACATTTGTTTTAACATCAATATTAAATAAATTAGTCAACCTTTTTACTGTATAATTTTAAAACTCTAAATACGCCTCGAACCAGAAATGTACTTCAACTTCTGGATCAACGAACCATATCATGATCAGGTTGTCCATCCAGTTTCCCTGATTCATTGAGCAAATGTTGAAATGGCCCCTTACTTTACTTCTGGACATAAACGTAGCTTCACAATGCATCCATTTTGTTCAGCTCTGCTTTTGCAAGTTGTACAAATAAAGAACGGATATAGAATGCTATTTTGTTAGCAAATATAGAAACTGAAATAGAGACTTCATTTTTTAGTATTTACTATAAAATGAAATCTCTATTTCAATTTCTCATGCAAATAAGTTATCTTTATTTTTGGGAGTAAAAATTTCTAGTTTTTAAATGTTGCTAACTTTGTTTTATTGGTACCTTTTATTCATTATTCAACTACTTATAGGAAGAGGATGGGGAAGGGATACTGGAACTCAAAGAACTCCCTTTTACACTCTTAAAACTTAAGTTTTCAGTCTTAGCTATAACGGCTGATGGATAATTTTTTTTTTTAATTATAAAAAAAATTTTAAAATATTAAACAGAAAATGTAATTTACTTGTGAAGATCCTTAGACTTGGCCCGGTTTGTTTCTGTTCGAATCAAATTGTCTTCTGTTTTGCCATATCTTTCAACTTGTAGACGGTTTTCAGTTTCTTTGACAAATTTCAAAATTATGCTGGAAAAGATGGTATCTCAATAAAAAACATGAAAGTTTCACATTCATACTTCATTTCTTTAATTGAAATTTTCTATTGACAGCAACACAAAAATTTACTCTTTACATTAGGGTTTGCCAATTTCTTGAAGAAACCAAAAGAGATATTTTTGAAAACATTTAGGGAGATTAAGAATACTACTTCGATTTTATAAAAAGTCTTTAATTTCCACTAATAATTATTCAATTCTTTTATTGAATTTGTAATTATAATATACATTTAAAAATTGTATCATAATGTTTTTATGTTTATAATTTAACATTTTTTTGTAACTAAACCAAGTATATGAAACCAAGAAAATTCTGATAACACTTAACGATTAAGTGACTTGTGAAGATGTCATAATCAGAAATATGACTTCCATACAAATGTAACATTTATATAGAATGTCAACATGTCACAATACTTCAAACTATGGTGGATTTTTTTAATAACATTACTAGATGATTTAGTTAATTTAGGGGTGTCTCTCACAAAAAAGTGTAAAAAAATACATTTTTCAACTTTCTTTTATGGCAAATTTACCTGCGAACAGTGTGCAGTTTTGTAACTTTCCCTCACCTGTCAATTGTTTCACAAGCACTGACTAGGTCCTTCCAAGCAGGTGTTTTAACAAAGCGCCACAGCTGTAAGCCTGATTCACACCGCCTTAGAGAATTGCTTGCTTTTGTAATGGCATCAAGCAAGTTGAGGCCTACAGAACCAGGCAGAAGCTTCTGGTGGCCAACTAGTTGCATGCGCTTACCCAACGTCACCAGAGCTACACCTGTACATATGTGATCAAGAAACATTGGAATCAACTTTTCTTAGGTTGGTCATCTTTGCTCAGGAAAAACTAAACGGTACAAAATGTGACAAAAGACACAACACAAAGAATAATCATGGAACTGAAGTTTTGAAATTTATTTGTCTGCCTGCTCTGTTTCTGCCTTCTTTAAACATATAAGAAGAAATAATCATCAAAATTTTATATTTTATCTATTTTCACTACTCTTACATAGATATAGGAAAGTTATGTAATGCTGCATTTGAGAAATGGTGATTTGTCAGTAGAAAAAGTCATTTTGTAGGTCCCTAACATAAAAAAGTGGATAATTCTTGTCCTATTTGTGGTAAATTACTTGTTTAATACATTGTGTAGTCAGAATCCACCTTTTTTTGGGTCCCTGACACTGAAAAACTGGCAACTGGATATGGCAAAACATCCATTTATTCATTCACTTGTGAACAAATACTAGCAGCTAAACCATTGAGATTTTCTAAAAACCTGGTATTCACTTATTGATCTGGCTGGTGCCCTTGAATTTAAAAAGAATATATTGATTTTTGGGAGTATTTTGGATGAAGTCTCAAGGATACTTCAAAATTATTCTAAAAATGGCCCAAAACTTGATCTCAGATAGTGTAAAGTGTACTTACGCAAATGACACAGGTCCAATTTTTATGAATAAAAAATTATTTTAAATCAACCACTCACTCTCATGAAATCTTGCCCATTCAAGATGTCATTATTTGAGTTTGCAACTACCGCAATTAGATTTTCAGTTTACTTTACAGGTATTTTAGCCAATATCTCTTCAGGAGTTAATTAGCTAAGTAGAAACAAAACTACTATTCTTTAAATTGAAGAGCCTTATATATTTAAACACACACACAAAAAAAAAATTGTAGTATTATATAAACAGAAAAACTAAGGAAAATTTAAAGACTCATCTTTCATGAACACAGAGGATGAATCTACTCACTCTCAAATGCCCACTTGAATATCTCAGTGTGAAAGTTTTCAGGTGTCTCCTCTTGACGATTTAGAAGGGTTTTTAAGCTAGAAACAAAGCAAAAATAGTTTCACCAGTGCATTTCTAAATCCTTTCCATTTAAAAGAATTTATTAAATATCCTCATAACACACTAAATATGTAGTATGTAACAATCAGGTTTAAGTAATCAATCCGTTCTTATTATCACAGCATTAAATTTGATTCGGAGTTTGGTACGTGAGTGTGAACAACGACTGAAAAGGAACGTCATATATCATGAAGACTAAATTTTACTTACACTTTAGAGGAGTTTTCTCTATTTTTACACAATTCAGCTAAATGTTTGTAATCTAAATAGAGTCAATGATAACATTGTGTTAATTTCAGTTTTCTCTTACATAAAATGTAACACTTAGCTACAAAGAAAAGAAAATCATGAAACAACTACTCTTACTTTGACATGAAATCATCTCCAATTGCTTCTAATTGTGATCCAAAGTGGCCAACAGACTGTGTGAAAGGAACTTCAAGTTTTGATCTCAATGATTCCCAATCTGGTCCAAACCTGAAAGCAAAATAAGATAGAGATATTTCGTGAGGTATTTCCTTCTCTCTAAGATCAATGTAGTAAAGTATTAAGAAGTATTCTTAAAAGACAGTTTTCCAAACAAAAAAGTGTGTTATCTGTGCTACAGTTGTTTTAATATATGAAAGGCATGAACTAATCCCTGAAATAAGAGAAAAAGTTTAGCAAGGGCAAATATTAACTTGAAAAAGTAGTGTTTTACAATAGCACTGAAATATCTCTGGGATAAATATGAATATTCCTAGTACATTAGATCACAAATATAATGAGAGAATATGATAATTATTTTAATAAAAATAATTAAATTATTCACCACCATAAATTTAATATAAATATTTGTCCAATTTCTGTCATCTGCACTAAAAATAATTGTACAATATTTGCCCATTGCATATTTTAAATGAATGTCATTTTTTTGTACAGTTTTAAAGCACACATCGTTCACCTTTGTGTGCAATCTACAAGTTTCAAGGACAGCAATGCAATGGAATCAGTCTTGATTGGGATTTAAAAAAGACATTAACAACAGAAAACCAATCTAGTGGCATCATTAGGTAAAAAAAAATTGTCTTATTGGAAAATTTAAGATAAGCATGATTTTATATACAGTAACTAAAATTATGCAATTTTCAAGTGTAATATATAGTCATATTTTAGCTTTTTTAAAACTCTTTGGTCATTTTCCATTAATTTGTCATATTATGGACGTATTTTTTACCAATTCTTGTATTTTTTGTCACATTCTAATCTTTTTGACGACATTTTTGCATACTAGCTTGTAGTCATCGTATCTCCTAATTGTTAACTAATTTCTTCTATTTGTTGTTTAATTTTTGTCCATCTTTCCCATAAATATACATGCAAATTAGGAGGGAAAGCTATATAGAAGAAGGAAAAGAAAGCGTAGAAAGCATCAGATGTGAAGGATATGTTAGTTTAGTTTCATCAAGTTTTTGCAAAGGTCAACTGCTTCTATTACTTTAGCAGGTACAGTTGTCTTCAAGGGGCGCCACAGGAGAGAGATGAATTGTGAATGTGCTGGATTTTAAAAGTATAATTTCAACAAAATGGTTATTTAATCAGCAGTAAGATTTCGAAAATGCAACTAAAAATTTTTAAAGATATATTTTTGAATTTTTTTTAGGTCATAAATGGTTGCATATTTCTGACTTTCTCTTTTTTATTTATATTTTAGTTTATTTTATTGTCTTCATTAACCATGTTCAAAATTTGGACAATAAAAATTTAGTATATAAATTTTTCTTCCTTTCAAATATCTTCACAAACTCTGTTTTCAATGCAAAATTATTATGAAATAAAAACATGGGCAACTTGCACAAAATATGACTTGAACAAAATGCTCAAAATAGATGAATCCTACAAAAGATATTAAAAATTCTTACATTACAAAAGGACCAGCAATACTTTGTTTTCGATGCTCTGATCTGTACTTTTCCAAGGAGTCTAAAGCAGAGCGAAGGGGATACTTCCCTTCTTCCTTGTACACCGTTTCAATGAGTTCTGGCCTTGCAACAAACACAATGTCACCACCAAAGATACCCTGCAGTCTCACAACCGGGCCATATTTGTCAAACATGTGCAAAAATGGAGTAACTCCTCGATTCCACACCAAGGAAGCGCCTGAAATAAACAAACAACTTTAGCTAGGAGTTAATTCTCAACCAAGTTTTATAAACATTACAGTTAACTATCTATTTAGTATGTGGTATCCAAACACCAATAACGTTCATAAAATTATTTCCTAAATTTCAAAATTTCTTGAAATGAAACAAACTGAAGATGAATGATTCAAACTCATGCCAAACCTATGGTTCAATTGACATGTTTTCCAAATAGGGACAATTAGGGGCATTCCCTACAAGTTCTATTTGCTAACTTCTACAAATGTTTTAAGTAGACCAATAGAATTGTTGTGTAGAGAAAATATAAGTTCTGTCTAATTTACGTTAATTGATCTTAAAAGCAGACAATGTCATGCAGCTGTTGTATTGTAACCATTACTTTTCTGTTACATCCGATTACTACATTCAAGAATGTTCTGCCCAGGGTGTGAATTGACAATTTTCTCCACAGAAGGATGTTCAAAACATACAAGAGAGGATGATCGAACAATGGAAAATGAAATGAACATCTGCTTTGCTTAGGCAACACAATGAATGAACCCTAATAATGCTTCCAAGAATGTGTTCTTGTAGAGAATGAGAAAGAGAATAATTTGCCTTTAGTATTTCTCCATTATGGGATTATGTTCTGTCGGGGGGAGATAACTGGAGGGAGAGACACTGCAAGCCAGCGTGTTGGTTGGTACCAGATCTCACATTCCAGCGGTGGTTGGAATGCCACCATCTCTCAGGAGATATGCACAACCAGTGCCGGAGCTAGACAATTTTGGACACAGAGTAGTGATGAAATGTAGTCTATAGTAGTCTGAAACGTAGTGAGATCCGGTATGTAGTTCCCTCCCCCAAAGTAAAAAATGTGAAAGTTATTTCAAGAAACTGGGTAAGTTATTTTATTTCAACAATTAACAATTATTAGTTTCAGCTAGAAGAAGTTTTGGGAATTATATTTTAATAATAGTTTCAATTAAAAGTATTTAGTGATCAAATAATACAATTTCCATGGTGAGCTTAAAATTGCTAAAAGAAATGTGTTTAGTTAGTGTATAATAAAATCACTTGTTGTTCTACTTGAAATAATAAATATGATTTTCAGTAGAACCTATTTTAATGTTAGCATCACTTGATTCATTTTGTAGAGTCTGGTCCTAACTTATAAGTAATAACTACAATTAATTATTGAAGGTTAAAAATTAAATGAAAATTTTGTGAAATATTAGACTACTGTACCATGACTTATAAAATTATGATAGTGATTTTCTCAAGTTCTAATTTCTTTTTCGATTTGTTAATAATTTTTCACATTTGTCCCTTCATCAGGCACCTAGACTTGTGGGGTCCCGGTTTAAAATGAAATTCAACTAACAAAGCAATGCAAATTGAATGTAGGTGTGTGCACAGGGGGTTGGTGGCCCCTCCGAAAATTCTCAAAAGGCCCCTTAGTCTAGTGTAATAAAACATTTTATTTTCATAAATATGTTCAATCTCTAATTTTCTCCTTTTTAAACCTCATAATTTGGAGTAGTGTTTTTCACAATTTGGGAAAGAAGCTAATTATGCCATTTCATAACCATGCAAATAGCTCAACCTAAAATGTAATGTATTTATTAATTGTGTCATTAAAGATAAAGTAGTTTCATTATCCTTGCATATTTTATTTATTTCTTGTATAATATATTTATTTACTACATATTACATGGTTAAAACATGAAATGTGTCAATAAAAAAAAGTTTAATGGAAAAGGGAGCTCCAAATTTAGTTTCCCCATCCCTCACCCTTCTTGTTTTAAGCAGCACATTCCTATGAAATTGTATTGTATTATGTTCCATTAGTTTAGAATTCCCCCCAAAATGAAATAAGTACATTTTTGTTTATTTTCAAATATTCAGAAGTTTGAAGTTTCCTTCACTTTCAATGTTTCCAAATGCTTGGTGACAACTGCCATCAAGTGTCAAACCAAAGTACTGTCAGTACTCATGAAGATGAATAGGCAAATAGCAGTTTTGACAGATAATATAAACAGCAAGCCTCCACAATAAGTAAGATTCTTGTATTACTTATGTTTTTAAAGATATGAATATTTCTAAAAGACAACATAACAACGCTGAAGCAAGAATAACATCTGAAAACAAATACAAATCATTGAAGTGATTTAAGGACAATCTTCTTAAAAGAAAGAAATATAATTTTGCAATACTTCATAACTTCTGGTCCAACCTATGTTAGTCTTTGACATAGGTTAAAAATGAGTAATGGACCGCTGGTCTACATCTCTTTACTGCACCCAATGGCAATGGGAATGCCATGAGAATCATCACACCCTTTCCTAAGCCAAAGGATTTGGTATAATTTTCTCGGTTTTTTGAAACCCAATATTATAAATTGATCAAAACACATTCATTATGAATATTTTTTTTCTAGCTGGATCTACCACAACTGCGCCACACAAGTGAGGTATTTCAAGTGCTTTAAAAATGACCAGTGAAAAGTGATTAAATTGCAAGGGAAGTTTAAAGTTGAATCCGTTTGCTTGTCTGGATATTTATTTACCTTATTCATCTCAGGAAAAGTAATGCATTCTACCTATAGTGAACCCTCTCCTTAGTCTGGCCTAGCATGGCCTACTCAAACCGACCCTGCCACTAATCTCACCCTGTGCTGCCTCACCTCCATCTTACCCACCTTGCCAACCGTTTGTGCGTGATGTGAACTTTTTTTTCTTTCTATCTCCCCCCCCTCCACACACACATAATCAATGTTTATATAACATTTGCAAAAATGTAAACTGCATGTCCAGGTATTGGGGGCTTCCAGTTTTCAAACGACTCCTTATTTGCTGTGATTGACTATTTTATTCGCAAAAGGGATGTTTAAATAACACGTTATAGAAATAATACTGCATATAATGATATCAATAACTATTTTCAAATGTTACAAATGGAAGAATGCTGAAACTCCTTTTCAAAAAGAATGTACTAAGATATAAATTGAAAAACAGTACTATTCAGAAATATGTGTAAAGATAAGATAAAGGAACAAGAAGACTTTATCCTATCCTAAATCAATTGTGGCATGTCGATTATCCTCTTATCAGAATAGAAACTTTCTACATTTTTAAAGAAAGATTCTTTTGGAGTTAGTAATTTTTCCCTTTTCCTTTGTGAATGATGTTCATTTTCTGTTGTCTTTATCATACTTAATCAGTTTTGTAGAGACTTTACAAATCTTCATGACATTTTCCAATGTTATGAGAGCAAAATTAAATTTGAGATTTTCAGTGAGGTAGAACAATTTTTCAATACAAGCACTTCATAGAGAAACAACTGCCTAAAGATAGAGATAAAGTCTCACCACCCTCAGAGGAATCATCAATCCTACCCAGCATATTCATGAAATACACCATGGCAGCAGCTGCGAACTGGTTGCTCATCTGAGGCAAGTAGCTCCATCCTCGAGCCAAGTACTTGAGAATAGAAGGCCCTGGCATTTCATCAAAGGAAGCTGTCAACCGCAAAGATTCCTCTTGCTGTTTGTCAACATCGATCATTGCCTTCATTCCTACTGAGGTTTTTGGTGGAGGTGTGGGTTGTAATGGAACCTTTTCTTCTTGAGATACATTGGCTGCAAGTGTAGGTTCCGGAGCATTTATCTGAAAAAATGTGAATTTTTTAAGTGGGGAGAAAAGATGTAGTAATGAAGCTAAAAAAATCACTTTTCAAAATTCAAATAATATTAAAATTCCTCATGCATGCCAATATATGCATTAGCTTTTAAATTTTGAGGGTATATATTTTCTTATGTAGTAGAAAAACTACTTCATAGGAAAACATATCCCACCAGCTACATTCTGTTTTATGCTCATTTTCTCTGAGCATGTATTAACAAATTGGTAACCCAGATAACTTTTGAATTACATCTTAAATTTGTTTCTAATTTTCAGAAAATATCATACAAGATTGTATCTTGTATTAGATAGTACAATATATTATTCTCTTATTATTATTATTTTAGTGAAAACATTATAAACTAATACTAGATCCAAAACATATTGTGAGAAACCAAATATATGATTTTAGTGATCTTATACCAGAACTTTTGCTGTAGTTGTTATAGGTGAAGAATGAACAAATTTCTACAGGTGGTATTATTACCATAATAATAACCAACAACCATTTTGTAAAAGTTCAGTTCATATTAAAAATTTAAATATTTGCAATTATGTTTCATTGCTTTAATTATATTTAATGAATGCTAAAAACATTTACACAATTTGTGTAAATACTTCAATATTAAAAGTAATATTTTTTTGAAAATAATCAATATTCCTTATGCTATGACTGTACTCATACATTTGAGAAAGTTTTCATTAAAAAATTTGTGGTATAGTACAAGGTTTTTTTTAAAGAAATTAATGTTTTCATTCAGAATACATTGTAGTTTCCTTTTAACATTTAATCAGTTGAACTAGTATAATTTCTTTGTATTTTGTAAATATCATACCATGTCAAATTAGAGATATCTACTTTTTTCTGCCTTTTCATTAAATTCATGAACAAAAATTAATTCAAGTGTATAGATCAATTTGATTTCTGCTGTTCTATTACACCAATCACTTTGAATTTATTTTAACTGTGGGACACAATTTCCATAGTTTGGTGATGGTCAACACACAATTATTAATTTCAAAAAATAATTCCATGAAAGCCTGTCTTTGAATAGAATCATGGAACATTCGAACCTTACATTGTTTCTGAGAATTGTAAACAAATTTGTAGCTTTGTAACTTTAAGACATTCACCAAAAAGTTTTCATGAATAAGTTATCCCACAAAAATTTCAGAGAATACTTACTGTTTTAGGTGTGTCTAAATTAGCTTTGGGAACATTTTCAATGAGTGTGGGGGGTTGTAGCACTTCCTCTTTTGTATCCTCTTTCAGTTTTCCTTCTGTCTGTTTTCTTCTTAACACGGGATATATTGTCTGTTGAGTAAAATATACCTGCAATCGCCGATAAGCTCCCCCGATTCTGTACATATTTCGTCGCAATTATTCTGAAAAATGCATTAAATAATTGTCAGGAAATAACTAAGAAAGGCAAAGAATGCAACTAAAATTGAAAAGTAATAAAAGTACTTACGAAAATAAGCAATCATAAATCACGCAACGCAATATTTTAGACAAAACATAAGTCTAAGTGAAGAGGATACTCTCTCCAGATGAGAAACAGACGAAGTCGTAGGAATCTGGACAACAATGGAATCTTTTTTCAAACTTGAACATGTTCATTTTATGGAGAACCGTCAATAATTCCATTTATTCTGAGTGAAAAAGTGTATCTGCGAAAAATAGCGAACATTTATCTGGAATACTTACGTCGTTTTTCGAAAGAAGGTCTTCTATCCAGGGTAATGTTGATCCTGATATTGTTTCCAGAATCTAATATCTTTCACTACAAATGGATGATCTGTACGCGCTTGAAACAAAAATAAAAATACCTTATATTATAAAGTAAATAAGAGTACATAATATATATTTTTGACATAAATATTTACATATGATTAAAAACTACTATATTTTTTCGTTTTCGAAAAGAAATAATTGTTTTTGAAGATATTATTTTGATTGTCATCTTAACGGACAATTGTATATAAACATATTCTCCTTGCATATATATACAAGAAAACTGTTAGTGAGAACGATTCGTTACCATAAATAGGGTGCGTTGAATTCCGTTTGCCAAACCGGGCGGACTCTAACTTTTGGAAAATAGTAAAAAATAGCACGCCACATTCGGTATTTTTCTATGAATATCTGCTCGTGCTCGCAGTGTTGTTAGATAAGGATCGAAGATAAACAAGTTCACTTTTTAAACTTTATTTTCTTAAAGATTGCTTTATATGAACAGAATTCACTCCAGTACCTTTGTGGACGAATGGATGTCCAAGTGACCGCAATGAAGTTTAATATTGATTCAGTTTTGTACGAAAACAACATTCACGCAGTGGAATAATCTGTAAATATTGAAAATGAAGATGTGATTTATTTTTAAAAAAATGTTAGTGATTTCTTAGAATAATTGTATGTGAAGCCTCATTTCACGATTGCCTTTATTCAATGTACCAAACTTCTTTGTGCTTAACATGTGAGTCATGTGATGAGGGTGATGGTAGCCATACACGTTACGATACGTTACATAGACGAAACATACGTATTTTCCAAGGGACCACAGATGGCTCAAGTATGCTTGAACGGCACCATTTCTGTAGTGAGCGTCCAGGTGTATTGTGCAGATATGGATGACGCTTTGGCCATAGTTGGATTAACATTTGCTACAAAAAAGTTGAAAAGACTAGAAAGAAATCGTTCTATATGGTGTAAAGACTGGTTACGAAAAAGAGAGCAGTATTCGCACATCAATTTATTAACTGAATTGAAATTTGCATCCAAAGACTGGCATAATTTTAATGAATTCCTCCAAAATCTCTCGAACTCCATGCATCTCATCACAGGTCGTCATTTTTGGCATGTAATCCGACTGCAAGATGAACGCACTTATCAAAAACACCTTTTTTACTTCTGAAACGCGACGTGTGCTGCCACAGCAGTGTTGCCAGATGTGTTTAGAGGGATTCCGCCATGTTCGTTTCAGTTTTCGCCGAAAATCCGCTGAACTGGTTTTAAATTTCCCGCCTAAATCCGCTAAACGTAAATTAATTTATTTTTCCATATTTAAATATTGTATTAATTTATTCTATTAAAACAAAAATATAATAGCGATATATAGTGGCTTTATTGAACCTGCAATTCAATTTTTAGATAATATAAAATGCATTACTTGGGTGAAAATTTGCAAAATAATAACAATTGATTTCAGGCATTATATAATTTATTATGTAAGTATTATATTACTTATTCTTGCTGGTAACATGGATTTAGAAATTTTAAAAATATACGTCTGTGCAAAACATCTTACTAATAAAGGTTAACGAAAACTTTACTAATTTTACTGCTTTACTAACTTTATTAATTTTCGCCGTTTGTTCCGCTGTCCGCGAAACTATTTTTTCCCCCGCCGTATTAGTTCAAAATCCGCTGAAAACGGCGGGAATTCCGTCGATATAGCAACACTGTGCCACAGACGTTCAACTCAGCGTGGCACAAGTTTTGCAATCGAAATTTGCAACGAACTTTAAACTTTTTACAAGTCTATAAATTAGTGTGAAAATCTTCCAACACACGTTAAGATATACTTGCATATACTTGCTCAACATATATACTCTGTATACTTGTACAAGTCTAAACTTGCGCAAGTATATCGTAACGTGTATGGCTACCATAACAGTGGTTTCCATTTCTTGGCGCGTGAGGGCATTCTTTACATACACGATCGGTCTTTATGTCGCATGATCGCGACCGCATTGAGCAGTCAACTGGCGATCATGAGACATCTAGCTGGTCGACCGAGAAAGACATGAAATCTTCTTCTTGCGAGTGTTTTACAGCTCTTGTGGCCGTTTCTCGCATCCTAATCTCCATACCACTCTATCGTTCTAGTCGTTCTCTCCTAGTCCCCTTTTTGCATATCGTTAAAAATCTGATTCTGCCATTCCTCTCTAGGTCTACCTCTTTTTCTTCGGTCTAAAGGAAACCACTCGCATACCTTTCTGGGCCATCTCCCACAATTAAGCCTTTTCACGTGACCGAACCATTTCAGTCTTCGTGTTTCCAATTCATCTATTATTGGTTTTTGAACCTTCAGTCGCTTAAGAATTTCTTCGTTTCTAATATGTTTTAGATACTCCACAACTTCTCAAAAAGTCCATTTGTAGGCTCATTAATTTCTCTCTTTCTCTTTTCCTTAGTTCCCATGTTTCTGCATCATACAATGTTATACTTTTTATGATAGAGTCGAAAAGTCTTGGACATGAGAGACATGAAAAGCCGTGAGATATTCTCTCGTGAAGACACACCCTCACGCGCCAAGAATTTAAAATCCAAGTATAGTGACACGCAATAGCAGTAATGTAATAGTGACGTAATTTGCCTTTGTTGCCACCAACTCAGAAAGAATAAGTGAAAAGGAAAGAGTATTATTAGCTGATCGCATCTGACACATCATTAAAAGTATCCTGACAGTACAGGTAGTGGACTGAAAAATACCAAAAGTATAGGAGTAAAATTACCCCTTGTTTGGCTTCTGGACATAAATGTAACTTCACAATGCGCACGTTTTGTTGAGATCTCTTATGGCTAGTTGTGGCACGAGTAGAACCGGAGGTATGTGTTGCTATATTGTTAGTAATAAAAAAGTAGTTATTTACTGAATATAAGTTTTCTATAATTCTAGAGAGAAAATATCAAGATTTTCATTTGCTGGTACTGTTATCCATCATTCAACTATTTATAATAAAAGGAGAAGAAGAGATTCTGGAACTGAAGAAAACGTACAGATTATATTTCTCCCTCAGTTTGACAAACAGTATAAATTTGCTAAATCAGACTGAAAAATGTATAAATCAAATAAAAGCTGACATTTGCTTTAGATTGCCCATGAAATATTCAGGGCGCTCTTGGCAAACGTGGCAATGCCGTCTTAATAAAGCGAACTCAAGTGTCCAGTTTTGTGAACGCACGGAAAGTGCAATCAGTGTTGTCAAATGGTCTTAATAATTTCCCATTAGAAAGCTCTTAAACACTTAAAAAAACAACAAAAAACTCAAAATTAAAAAAAAATTATTACTTGATGTTTACAATGTATGAGGAGGCACGGAAATTAAAGAAATACGAAAAATATTAACAATTGTATATGAATATACTTTTATATTACAGTAAACACCCATGTAATGCATAAAATATGTTTAGCAACTATTTATATAATAATGTGCATATATACACACATTGTATGTTTTGTTTTAAGGAGTTTTACACTGTGTACAAGTTATGAAACTTAAAGAGGTAAGTTGGTCTCACTCATTGTAATGACTGAAAGAGATGGTAACTCTTTGCAAAACTTTTCTTCAATCGAAATAGTTGTTTTCAATACTTGTTTATTGCTGTGATTCGTTCCTTTTCATCAAATGAGTTGCCATCTTCTATCAATCTTTGATTGTGACAAATAACCACCAAATTTTAAATGAGGAAATCCATTCAAATCTTACAACCCTATGTTTTTACTACATTTATATTTGAATAAAGATATCTGCAACTATCATAGATAACTATTTTTGGTTTTTGTGATAAACATCCGATATTCTTAAACAAATTATCATTAAAAAACTCAACGAAACCCCCCAACAAAACTCCCCCTAAAAATCCACTAAAGGTCTAAAAATCCCGTAATTTAGGGGGAGAAACCCCTAACCTGGCAACACAGTGAAATGCACGTTCACGCCACTGCGGTGTGATCCTTCCTAAGCTTAAGTGTAACTACGGCCAATCGTGCAACATAAAAGAACTAGCGGTGCTACAGAATGGCACAAACTTTTACCGTATTCGTTTTCTATTTCCTTTGGTCTCGGCTTGCTATTCGGACTTGTCACATATTCTTGCAGCTGACATCTATCCCCACCCAAAGTTCATTTTTTTGAAATTTTCTTTCGGTTTTCTAATAGTAGAACCGAAGTATTACTTTAAGAATATTAAAGAAGAGTAAAACCTCGTCTTAAATGGAAATTTTCATTGAAAAATTTGGAGTCGTTTTTAAGAAATTGGTGTTTAAGCGCTACTGTAATTCCGAAATTTGAAGCTCTTTTTTACAGAAAAATTTTGAGTTTTCAAAAAAACTTTATTAGAAGTCGTTTGAAGTAGTTTAACTCACAAATACAACCCTTTTTACAAGTTGCTGGAAATGTGCATATTAATGGAGTGAGAGATCTTTCAAAAACATTACATTTATGTAATTAAAAAAATACCATGAAATGAACTTAACGTCATATTAAAGAGAGCAATTAATACAATCGGTTCGAAAAGTTGGCCGAAAAAATTGTAGGGGTTTTTGAGAAAATGGCATTTGAGCGTTTTTGAAAC